GGTGTTACCTAGGCTGGCAATGAAACATTTGGGAACCGACCCACAAGCTTGGAGAATCAACCTCCGCCTTCATCGTACAGCTGAGCTACAGAAATTCGCCACTATGGCACAAGCGTCATCAGTGCTAGAGGGAGCGTGGGGTTTGCACTCAGTGTTTAGTGGTTTTTCCCTGTAAGGGTTAGTGGGGGGTGGTCTTAGAGCAGTGGTTCTCAACCTTTCTAATGCCGTGACCCCATAATACAGTTCCCCATGTTGTGGTGACCCCCAACCACTTATACATCACCGGGTGCCAGGGGCGTGGCCAAAGAAAAGGGGAAAAAAATGGCGGACAGCCTTGTTTGGCGACCCCCGTGAAATGGTCGTTCGACCCCAAATGGGGTCCCGACCCACAGGTTGAGAACCACTGTCTTAGAGGTTTGACCCAGCAGCCCCAGAGGAAAAAGCAGGAGCTGTCTACAATGTACAGTGTAATGACTACAACAACCATTGTGTAGGATAAACAGGCAGAAGACTGGCATCTACGAACACCCAATAGCGCTCAGAAGAGACATGATGAAAACTGTATAAATTCACAATATATGGGCAGACTTAACCATTGTTTCAACTGGGAAACTGTGACCATCCTAGACCAAGTCAAGTCCAAAAACGCTAGGGCAGGGGTGTCAAACTGCTGGCCCGCGGGCTGGACGCGTCATCGGGAAACCAGGCCCACCCCATTGCCAGCAATGGTGAAAAATTTCAGATACGTTACGTAACGTCACGTGATGTCATGAGTTTGACATGTCTGGCTAGGGCAGTGATGGCGAACCTTTTAGAGACCGAGTGCCCAAACTGCAACCCAAAACCCACTTATGCATCGTTGGGTGCCGGCTGGGTGTGGCCCATTGGGTGGGCGTGGTTGCAGTGGTAACGGCAGACTGGGTGGGACTAAAAAGTTCAATCCATCAATTCCAACTTTGCACGATCTTTTTTCCCCGCAAGAAGTTGAAATTGATTGATTGAACCTTTTTTTTTTTTTTGCACATGGCGGCGGAGGCCTAAAGCGAAAAGGTTTTATAAAACCCAGCTGAAGGCCTACGACTGGGGCAATGGCGCATGTGCCCACAGAGAGGGCTCTGAGTACCGCCTCTGGCACCCATGCCATAGGTTCGCCACCACTGGGCTAGGGTGTTCCTAGAAGCCTGGCACTCTGACCAATTAGCCATCAATAGACACATAGACATAAACAATATCTACATGCTATGCAAAGGAGAAATATCAACAAGCCAAAAAGGGAATATTTTTTGTATTAATACTTTTAGATTAACTCCAAGATTAACATCAGACAAACAATCAGGTAATAAACAACACCCCAATCAAGAAACTGCCAAAGGGCCAACAGTAAACAGCCCCACCAAAGAATCTCTAAGATCACCTCCACCAACCCTGACAGAGACGGCCACTAGAATATAAACTGAGAGCAAATCCCATTTCTTACTAGCACTGATGATGTTACCTAGTTGGGTAATGAAACTTTTGCAAGGAAACACCCAAGCTCAGAGAGCACCAAGGACCCCCTCATAAATTTTTCTGGCCATTGTCTGAATATTTTACAGAATAACAGAGTTGGAAGGGACCTTGGAGGTCATCTAGTCCAACCCCCTGCTCAAGCAGGAAAGTCTATACCAAGGGTAGGCAACCTTGGCTCTTTTATGATTCGTGGACTTCAACTCCCAGAATTCCTGAGCCAGCCAGGAGTTGAAGTCCACGAATCATAAAAAAGCCAAGGTTGCCTACCCCTGGTCTATACCATTCCGGACAAATGGCAGTCCAGTCTTGTCTTGAAAACCTCCAACGATGGAGCATCCACAACTTCTGGAGGCCAGCTGTTCCACTGGTTAATTGTTCGCACTGTTAATGACATTTTTCCTTGGTTCTAGGTTGCTTCTCTCCTTGATTCGTTTCCATCCGTTGCTTCTTGTCCATCGTTCTTGTGCTTTGGCGAATAGGTTGACCCCCCCTTCTTTGTGGCAGCCCCTTAAACATTAAAACATTGCTATCATGTTACCCCTGGTCCTTCTTTTCATCAGACTGGACATACCCAATTCCTGCAATTGTTCTTTGTATGTTTTAGCCTCCAGTCCCTTAATCATCTTTGTTGCTCTTCTCTGCCCTCTTTCCAGAGTCTCAATGTATTTTTGTGTCGTGGTGACCGAAACTGGATGCAGTATTCCAAGTGTGGCCTTACCAAGGCTTTATAAAGTGGGATTAACATTTCACATGATCTTGAGTCTATCCCTTAATGCCGCCTAGGACTGTGTTGGCTTTTTTGGCAACTGCAGCACACGGCTGGCTCTTATTTAAGTGATTGTCCACTAGGACTCCAAGATCCCTCTCACAGTTGCTACTATTGAGCCAGGTACCACCTGTTCTGTACCTGTGGATTTAGTTTTTGAAATAGTGTTAAAGGAATCTCTTTCCAGGGAGGCTTTCACTTTTATTTTTAAATTCCCGGCTTTTAAGGAGTTGTTCTCTCTTCTGTTTATTCCATACCAGTGTGGTGGGTTTGTGATTTGCCCCCCTCCCAGTTTACCTCCCAATTGGCCGACTGCGCACCCCATTTTTCTCACCCTCCTCTCGTCCATTTCCACCCTTTGCTCCCTAACAACTGGAAAGTTTGAAGATACGAGGGGAAAAAAAACACCTCCAAATCTTGTAGATTGTGATTGTCATTGCTTGAAACATTTTTTGTTTGCGCATCGTAGGCTGTCTGGTCAGTCAAACACAAGTAGCTGCGTTCGCACAACCGCTTGGTTGGTTGGGGGATGGTTGTGTTTTAGTGGGTTCAGGAAAACCCAGACCGCTCGGTCAATGTAGAGATCAAGCTTCAAAGCCCTCCCCAAAGGGTTCTTCTGATCATCATGATCATCATCCGAGGTCCCAAATTGGATTTCGGGGGATCGTTAACTTACAAGCTACAGAAATTCAGAAAAACTGCGATTCTTCAAATGGCTGGTTTCTCTGGGAAGGCAGTTCTGATTAAAAGCTTTGCACGCTTTTTCATGTCCCTGGTGCATGGTTTGGCCGAATTACAGACAGTTCTCGAGTTACGACAGTTGGGACCAGATTTTTCAACCGTAAATCGGAATCATAAGTTGAGACATCACGTGACTGATTTTTTTTTACCGTTTCTACCAAGGCCGTAAAGAAAACCACATGGTTATTAAGGGAATCATGTGGCCGTTAAGTGAATCCTGGGGCCGTTAAGTGAATCCAGCTTCCCCAATTGGCCTTGTTTACTGGAAACCAGCTGGCAAAGTCACAAATTGCAATTGTGCACCTGCAGCACGCTGCAGCTGGTCAACAAGGCGAGCTGGTGGCCAAGCAGTTGAATTGCAATTGTGTGATCCATTAGAACGGTGCAACAGTCGTAACTGAGAGGAGAAATCCTAAATCGCTTTTTTCCAGGTTGTCGTAACTTTGAACCATCGTTAAATGGATGGTTGTAAGCCAAGGAACACCTATCTATCCACTGAAAGAACTGGTCTTTTCTCCTTAGATTAGGAATCTATGGAATACAACGCCCAGAACCTCAGTACAGGTAGTCCTCGACTTACGACAGTTCATTCAGTGACCGTTTTGACGGTACAACAGTACTGAAAAAAGTGACTTATGAATCGTTTTTCACATTTACGACCCTTGCAGCATCCTCGTGGTCACCTGATTTATGTTCAGATGCTTGACAACTGACTCACAATTATGATGGTTGCAGTGTCCCAGAGTCATGTGACCACATTTTGCAACCTTCTGACAACAAATCTGGTAAACCAGATTCACTTAACAACTAGATTACTACAATAGTGGCCAAAATTGGGGAAACCTTTTGGGAAAAGTGTATTTTTGAGGTTTGATGGCTAATAACACCACTTTTTTTAATGGAGTAGTTCCATAAAATTATACATCAATGGAAAGATAATTTAATGAAGAATGTAATGCAACAAAGTTTGTTCAATTATCTGTACTGTATTCCATGAAAAGCTATAGCCAAAGAACCAGAAAAAGGAAGCACAACTTGCTTAGGTTGATATGAGGTAGCTTTCCTTCGTCTGATTGTAGCCAATGAGCGTGAGTGTTTAGAGAGCCAATCGGGTGTCGTCTTGTTTTGGCAATGAGCCAATCAGATCACAGTAGGATCCAGTGATTGATGTCATGTATTGAAGCTGAGAGGAGGACATTTGTCAGTGTGTTATGCGATCGCTATCAAGTTGGTTGGGGTTTTTTGTGTTCTTTCATTTAGCGAGCTTGTGAAACGTCATAAAATCAAAGTCATGGTGCAAAGACTTGACTGGTCGCCCAGAAAGCGATGCAAAATAGTATTATTAAGTGAACAAGGCTACCGTTATAAAGAAATTAGAAGAAAAATGGGTGAAAACTTAACCAAAGCTGGCATTTCTACTGTACACTTTTCCCAAAAAGTTTTCACAATTTTGGCCACTACTGTAAGTTAAGAACTGCAGGGATTCACTTCACCTTAACAACTGTGGCAAGAAAAGCCGTAAAATGAGGCAAAAGTCACTTAACACATTTCTCAGCCACCTAAACTTTGGGCTCAATTGTGGTCATAAGTCGAGGACTACCTGTATATAAATTGGATAAATAAATCAGGAAAACGCAGCTTCAAAAGCAGAACAGCTACAGTTGTGAACAGTTAAGACAGAGGAACTCGTGACCGGACAGTAAATGCTGTTGGGATTCTCCTTTGCTGGATGTCTTCAAGCAAAGGCTGGACAGCCATCTTGAACTGGAACTCCTGCCTTGAGCAGGGGTTAAGACTGGATGGCCTCCAGGGACCCTTTCAAGGAAGGATTTTCCCTTTGTACACCTGTTTGAGGGTCAAGTAAGCGATCATAAATGGTGGGCATCATCTACCAGGGCTTCAGGTCAGCAAGTGGCCCCACTGCCAGGGACATCAACGGGGGCCATGTCTAGTATCTCATCCAAGCAATGGCCACGAGGTCCTCCCTGCTGTCCACCGTCACCACCAGCCATGAGGTGGTAGAACGTCTTCAACTCAGCTTGAAAGCCAGAAGAGGCCAACTCTACCCAATAGAGCAGTGCTCCTCAAGCTTAGCGTGAAGATGGATGGACTTCAACTCCCAGGAATTCTGGGAGTTGAAGTCCACCTATCGTCAAGCTGACAAGCTTGAGGAACTCCTCAAGCCTAGATACTTAGCTGGAACAACGCATCTCCTGTTTGAGGAGATCCTGAAGGAACGTGCAGATGCTTGCTGGTTTCCAAGGGTCTTTAATTGGAAACGATGCCTGAAACCCTTCTGGTGGCTCAGGGTGGCTGACCTACCTCACCCCAGCCCTAAGAGGCCTCCATCTCCCTCCCAGGACTTCTGCGGTGGAGCTGAAGCCCACTAGCTCCTCAGTCTTTCAACGTTTGGCACCTGTGGGTCCAAGGAGACTACGGGACTGGTGGAGGTGGGTGGGGAAACTGCCGAGACCCTGGGCTCTCTGCCTTGGCCTTCTGCTCGGAGGTGGCCCCTTCTCGCTGTCTGAGGGCGGGATGATACAACAGTTCCTTGCCTGAGCGAGAAGAACTGGGTTGGGGCAGCCAGGAAGACCCCGAATTCCTTCCCATGAATTCCAACAGCTCATCCAGATTCTCCCGGGCCGTGGCTATTTTTTGCCGGCTTTGGAGAACGATGCTGTTGGGCAGATCCCTCAGGTTGGTGCTGGAGGACAAGTAGCCCTGCATCTCCTCCAGGTTTTCGTGGATCTGAGTCACCTTCTCCTGCAGGTGTGCTGGCAGCTCGGAGATGTGCGGCAAGAGGTTGTGGTAGGTGTGGTAGAGCTCCCGGGCCAGGTCACGGGTCAGAAGTAAAGCTTTCAACTCCAGTTGCTAAGAGGAAACAAAAGAGAAAGGAAAGGGATGGATCGCTAGCTTTGCTGGGTCAGATCCTTTAAATCAGGTAGTGGCCTGGCGTGGCAAGAAGCCTCCCACGGGATCTTCTACTGTAGGGTTTTCAACTTGGCAACTTTAAGATAGGTGGATTTCAATTCCCTGAATTTCCCAGCCACCATTTGTGGATTTCAGCTCCCAGATTTCCCCAGTCAGTATTGGTGGACTTCAACACTAAATGCCCCACCTAGCATGTGTGGACTTCAACGCCCAGAATTCCCCAGCCAGCATGCTTTAGGACGGGTGGACTTCAACTCCCAGAATTCCATAGCCAGCTTTAAGATAATGATCTTCAAGATCCTTTCCAAAATCATCATCATCACCATCATCATCACACAGTCAGCCAGATGTTCAGACTGGATTTGGCCTTTTTGTCTACCTATTGAGTCCTTACCCAGGACCTGGGATAGGCAGATGTGGAGGTTTGATGCTATTACAGATGGAAGGATGGAAGCAGGATGGAAGCAGTTCCTAGTAAGGCCGCCTTTTGCAATTGATGTATTTGCAATTTGTTGTTGTTGTTATTATTATTATTATTATTGACAGAATTCCAGAAATCCCTAGTCAGTGTGTGAGAACATTAATGCCCTGAATGACCAGCATTTGTGGGCTTCAGCTCCCAGAATTCCCCATCCATCATTGGTGGGCTTTAATTTTATAGCTATATATACAGCAAACTAGATAGTCAGGCAAACAGGACTGTCCTGAGGTAAATCACAGAGATGGCACACGGAAGGGAAAAAAGGCGGGAAAAAAGGGAAACGCCCCCTCCACACCCACAGCAACCAATCACAGCGCAGATTGCCTCATTTACATAACACTACAAGTTCGTGTCGGTGTCTCTGACTACATTGGAACAACCGCTGCACAATTCCCTGATTCATATTTAAACTCAGTTTACTAATGGCTGACCCACTACTATCTCCTCTGGAAGCTGGTTCAAAACTTCCATTAAGCTTTCAGCGAAGGAAGACTTTCTCACATGACTTTTGAACGTCCCTCCTGTCAGTTTGGCATTATGCCCCAGGGTTCTTTTTTTTTTTCTCCAAGGCTTTATAACATTTTACTAGATTATAGAGGAAAATACAAAAAATACAAAAGCTTTTGTCTGAAGTGATATAGGATTTCCTGCCTGAGGAGGGGGTTGGACTAGAAGACCTCCAAGGTCCCTTCCCACTCTATTATTCTATTCTATTCTGTTCTGTTCTGTTCTGTTCTGTTCTATTTCTTCCATATTCTGTTCTATTGTTGTTGTTGTTGTTGTTATTATTATTATTATTATATTATTATTAAACTCTATTCCAAATGGGGTCTGATTAAAGCCAGGGAGGGCAGCCATGCTGAAGTGACCTGAACCCAGCCTTGTCCATCCATTATCCACAAAATGGAGGAAGGAATTGAACTGCAATCCTGGATACCTGCTTGACTTTTTTGCCTTCCTTCAGGTTATTCTTGGGCTCTGTCTGCTCCCCTCCATCCCACCGATAACCACGAATGAAACCTTGGCTTTATTGTTCTATCAAACTACCTCGGGCAGTAAAGAGAGGGACTCTTTGACCGTCCCCGATGTTGGTTTTGTGTTGGGCGGACCCTGGGATGTATTCCACTGAGTCCACAAGTTAGACAACTGCTGGGGGACGTTTGACAAGGTGGTGGTCCCGGTGGTCTGGGCATATTCCACCTGGAAAGAGAGAAAGAAGCTTTAGTACAGCTAGTCCTCTACTTACAACTGCCCAAAGTGTGAAAGAAAGATTGCAGATCTTACAACAGCTCATTTAGTGACTGTTTGAAGGCACAACCATTATTCGCACTTAACGACCATTGCCACATCCCTTTCATCACGAGACCAAAATTGAGATACTTGACATCTGACTCGTATTTACGACGGTTACAATGTCGCTGGGACATGGGAATCCCCCTTTTGCAATCTTCTGACAACCAAAGTCAGTGGGGGAAGCCAGATTCACTTAACAACTGTGTTACTAACTTAATTGCAATTCCCTTAACAACTGTGAGAAGAAAATTCATAAAATGGGGCAAAACTCACTTAACAAATGTCTCGTTTAGCAACAGAAATTCTGGGTTCCACTGTGTTTGTAAGTCGAGGGCTAAGTGTATTCAGCTCAAGAATGAGTCTGATGCCAGGGATGATAATATAGGTATTCCTCGACTTACAACCATTATTAAGACCAAAATTTCTACTGCTAAGGTGACCACGTGACCCCCTGGGACACTGCAACCATCGTAAATATGAGACAAAAGCATCTGAATTTTGAGCATGTGACCACAGGGAAGCTGCAATGGTCATCAGTGTGAAAAACAGTCATAATTACTTTTTCAGTGCTGTTGTAACTTTGAACGGTCACTAAATGAACTGTCGTAAGTTGGGGGCTACCTGTATGATGATAGAGAACTTTGAAACAAGGATGGAGGACATATGATAGCAGAGAACTTTGGAATAAGGATGGAGGACATATGATAACAGAAACTTTGAAGCAAGGACATATGATAACAGAGATCTTTAAAACAAGGATTTAGGACATATAATAGCAGAGAACTTTGAAACAAGGATGGAGGACATATGATAGTGAATTTTGGAATAAGGATGGAGGACATATGATGGAAAAGAACTTTGAAACAAGGACATTTGATAGCAGAGAACTTTGAAACAAGAATGGAGGACATATGATAGTGAACTTTGGAATAAGGATGGAGGACATATGATAACAGAGAACTTTGAAGCAAGGTCATATGATAGCAGAGAACTTTGAAACAAGGATGGAGGACATATGATGGTAGAGAACTTTGAAACAAGAATGGAGGACATATATAGTAAACTTTGGAATAAGGATGGAGGACATATGATGGAAAAGAACTTTGAAACAAGGACATATGATAGCAGAGAATTTTGAAGGATGGAGGACATGATAGCAGAGAACTTTGAAGCAAGGATGGAGGACATGATAGCAGAGAACTTTGGAATAAAAATGGAGGATATATGATGGTAGAGAACTTTGAAGCAAGAATGGAGGACATATGATAGAACTTTGAAATAAGGATGGAGGAGTTGTAGTGGTGAACTTTAAAACAAGGATGGAGGACATATGATAGCAGAGAACTTTGGAATAAGGATGGAGGACATATGATGGTAGAGAACTTTGAAACAAAGATGGAGGACATATGATAGCAGAGAACTTTGGAATAAGGATGGAGGACATATGATGGTAGAGAACTTTGAAACAAGGATGGAGGACATATGATGGTAGAGAACTTTGAAACAAGGATGGAGGACATATGATGGAAGAGAACTTTGAAATAAGGACATATGATAGCAGAGAACTTTGAAACAAGGATGGAGGACATATGATAGCAGAGAACTTTGGAATAAGGATGGAGGACATATGATGGTAGAGAACTTTGAAACAAGGATGGAGGACATGTGATGGTAGAGAACTTTGAAACAAGGATGGAGGACATATGATGGAAGAGAACTTTGAAATAAGGACATATGATAGCAGAGAACTTTGAAACAAGGATAGAGGACATATGATAACAGAGAACTTTGGAATAAGGACGGAGGGCATATGATGGTAGAGAACTTTGAAACAAGGATGTGATGGTGGTGGGACTCGCCTCTTCCACCTCCTCCTCAGACCTACCATCTCTAAGATCTGATCAAGCAGCGAGAGACTTTCGTGTGTATTTTGACGCGCTGCCTTGATTTGGTGCAACACAATTTTGAAGGCCCGGGTCCTCAGCTGGGTCGAAAGCGAATTGATCCTCACGAAACAACCTTCCTTGCAAAGATCCTGCATAGACGTGTCCACTTCCCCAGAGGTGGCATTGGAAAGGGCTGAGAAAACACAACCACACATTTCCTTGATATGGAAGCGTCGGTGTGAATCGAGGTCTTTGGTGTTTAAAAAGAATTTAGGTTGAACATCACCTCACAGTGCTGGGCAGTCACCTGATGTCATAGTAGAGATAGTCCCTGACATACGACCGTGATGAAGCCTGCCCATTACGGTCACTTGTTCGATCAGTTATAAAACAGGTTGGTTATGTGACCGATCCAATTTTAGGACCTTTTTGGTGATAGTCTTTAAGTGAAATGCAGTGGTCGTTAAGCAACCGCAGCAGTTATTAAGCAAATACCTAAGTGAACCAATGATTCACCGTGGAGAGATTTTGCCCAAAACTGAAAATTAGGTTTTCAGCAAAACTGTAATAAAACATAGTCACGTGACTGGGAAATTGCAGATGGCTATCAATGCAACCATATTACCGAGTGCCTAAAATTAGCTCGTGTGACTATAGAGAGAACTTGACTTTGAATCCAGGTTGCCAAGTCCCCTTGTCAGTTTCTACCTTATGCTGGCTTGTGCTTCGCTACTAAGCAGGGACAGTTTGCCGTGAATTCTGAGGAGGAAGGATGGAAGGGAGAATGTTTGGGGGAAAGGAGAAGTAACTTCTGTATCTTCTTGAAATGCTGCTTCAAGGTCATCCGGCTGGGAGAAGAAGGCAACTGCATACCAAACTATGCTTGAAGTAATCGTTCTGAAAACATCTTGCTTGAACCTGATTAGTCATTGTGTGTGTGTGTGTGTTCACGCACGTGCGCGTGTGCAATGGGAAGCAGTTAAGGGAGGGAAAAGTTGAACTTAGGGGTTTGGCCGCATGCTTCTCAATTCTGGCTTTGCATGACTTCTAATAAAAATATACTTCAGGTCTGGACCTTAGCAGAAGACCCACAAATTGTCCCCCACCACCACATGTGTCCGCTCCCACCCTGATGAGGTTCTTCACCAATGGCTTATCTAGGAGAGCTTCAGCTGCCCCAAAGAATTGGCTGAGACCTACTTCTGAAGCTCCAAAACAACTGGAAACATCTGTCAAGGAGCTGGCCTATTCCCTCTAGGAACTCTCAGTCAAGATTACCCATGACGCTAAGAAAGGGTTTTGAAAAGCTATAAAACATTGGAGGAAAAACAAGAGTTAGGAGATTTGTCACAAGAGTCTTCATCTCCAACTACTGAGGCCCGTTTCTCACCCTTGTTGGACTCTGGTGCTGGAAGGTAATAATTCAGCCATTCCTCGGATTTACTCAGCGCCCGCTCAATGGTGTCCGCAAAGACCTGTCCCACGGGCGATACCACGAATGAGCTGAGGCTGGTGGCCATAGCTGAAGCCTTTTCCTTCCCAGAGAGAGAAGACATCTCTTCATTGGTGGCCTTCTCCTTTCCTCGTTGGGATAAGAGTCTCCCCTTGTGGGTTACCACAATGCTCTCCGCTTCTTCCTTCTTGGGCCATGGATGGAAGCAAGAGGAACAGCAGGAAAAGGGAGAAGAGACATGAAGCACGGGGGTTGACTAGGCTGATGGTTGATGGGTTGAGCAGGAGGTTGGACTAGGAAAGGGGTCGGCAACCTTAAACACTCAGAGGGCCACTTGGACCCATTTCCCACAGAAAAGAAAACACCGGGAGCCGCAAAACCCGTGTGCATGCACGTGCATGCACGCAGAAGGGGGGGCTTGATTGAAGAGTTTAATTAAAAAGGAATAGAGGCTGCTGTGCATAAGTTCTCTCTCTCTCCCCCCCTCCCTCTCTTTGTCTCCCTCCCTCTCTCCCCCCCTCCCTCTCTCCGATCTTCTGCTCACCTGGCAAGCTGGCTTCACGCTGTTCTCTGACAAGCTGACATACATTCTTATTGGCCTGGCTCTCTCCTGCCCTTGGTCTGCCAGTCTCTCTCTCTCTCTCTCTCTCTCTCTCTCTCTCTCTCTCTCTCTCTCTGTGTGTGTGTGTGTGTGAGAGAGAAAGAGAGAGAAAGAGAGAGACAGAGAGACAGAGAGAGACAGAGCGAGAAAGAGAGAGCTGCTGCTTCCTGCTTTCTCGGGCGACACAGCAAAGGCAGGAGCCCCACCCAATAAGCTTGTCAGCTTGTCGGAGAACAGTGTGAGGCAGAAGATCGGAGAGAGAGAAAAGGGAAGCGCAAGTGCCTCTCTCTGTCTCTCTGTCTCTCTCTCTCTGCAAATGGTGGAGGAGGACTGGAAGACACAGTTGAAGGCTCAAAGAGTCACATGTGGCTCCGGAGCCACGGGTTGCCAACCCGTGGACTAGAAGACCTCCAGGATTCCTTCCAACCCTGTTATTCTAAGTGACAAAGGGGCTTTTTCAAAAGGCAACTGGATTTTGTTCGTCCTTGAAGAAGTTTCGCTTCTCATCCAAGAAGCTTCCTCAGTTTCATTCTTCAGTTCAGTTCTCCAGAACTGAAGAAAGTGTCTTGGATGAGAAGTGAAATGTCCAAGCGTCCAGATTTGGATTGTGTGATGGTGGGATGCTGTGAGGGTGGTAAATGTGAGGACCGTTATAAGTCCCCTTTTTTTTCAGTACAGTCGTAACTCCAAATGATCGCTAAGCAAATGGCCGTAAATCGATTAACTGGATACGTTGGTTATTCCATCTTTATACAGTAGTGGCCAAAATGGTGGAGACCTTTTGGGAAAAAGTTTATTTTTGAGGTTTGATGGCTAATAACACCACTTTTTTTGGAGGACTACCATAACATTATATATCAATGGAAAGATAATTTAATCAAGCATGTAATGCAACAAAGTTGGTTCAATTATCTGTACTGTATTCTATGAAAAGTTATAGCCAAATAACCAGAAAAAGGAAGCACAACTTGGTCAGGTTGATATCAGGTAGCTTTCCTTCGTCTGATTGTAGCCAATGAACATGAGTGTTTAGAGAGCCAATCAGGTATCATCTTGTTTTGACAATGAGCCAATCAGATCACAGTAGGATCCAGTGATTGATGTCATGTATTGAAGCTGAGAGGGGGACATATGTCAGTGTGTTATGTGATCGCTGTCAAGTTGGTTGGGGTTTTTTGTGTTCTTTCATTTCAAAATAATAAAGTAATAAATATTCAAAGTAATAAAATAAAAGTAATGGTGCAAAAAGTTGACCAGTCGCCCAGAAAGTGATGTAAAATAGTATGATTAAGTGAAGAAGGCCACGTTATAAAGAAATTAGGAGAAAAATGGGTGGAAACTTGACCAAAGCTGGCATTTCTACTGTACACTTTTCCCAAAAGGTTTCCACAATTTTGGCCACTACTGTAGGTCAACACTTTGTCTGATATTAAATACAATATCTGACATCTAGTAGAATCAGACAGGTCTGAAAAAAATTCAGGCAGTTCTCAGCTTACGTCCAAAATTGAGCCCAAAACCTCCGTTGCTAAGTGAAGACAATTGGTAAGTGAATTTTGCCCCATTTTACGACCTTTCTTGCCGCATTTGTAACACAGTTGTGAAGTGAATCTGGCTTCCCCATTGACTTTGGGGTCGCAAGAGGGGATTACAGGAAGTCCTCGACTTACGACCACAATTGAGCCCAAAATTTCCGTTGCTAAGCGAGACAGTTGTTAAGTGAATTTTGCCCCATTTTACGACCTTTCTTGCCGCATTTGTCAAGTGAATGACGGCAGTTGTTAAGTGAATCTGGCTTTCCACCCATTGACTCAGCTCGTCAGAAGGTCGCAAAAGGGCGTCCCATGACCCTGGGACGCTGCGACCGTCATAAATATGAACCGGTTACGAAGCATCTGAATTTTGATTACGTGACTACAGGGCTGCTGCAAAATGTGAAGCATGTCACATTTTTCACAGCACCACTTTAACTTCGAACCGTCACTAAATGAATGGATGTAAATTGACGACTTTTTGTATGTTTTCAGGATGGGAACACAGAGTCCTACATCATAAGGACTCTACCCAGTGGAACAGCTTTGCCCCCAGAAATCATGGGCGCTCCGTTATTGGAGATTTTTAAGAAGAGACTAGACACTCACTTGTCTGCAATGGTATAGTTCTCCTGCTTGAGTAGGGGGCTGGACTAGAAGACCTCCAAGGTCCCTTCCAGCTCTATTCTATTCTATTCTATTCTATTCTATTCTATTCTATTCTATTCTATTCTATTCTATTCTGTAATTCTATTCTATTCTGTAATTCTATTCTATAATTCTATTCTATTCCATTCTGTAATTCTATTCTATTCCATTCTGTGATTTTATTCCATTCTGTGATTCTATTCTATTCTATTCTTTCCATTCTGTAATTCTATTCTATTCTGTAATTCTATTCTGTAATCCTATTCTATTCTATTCTATTCTATTCTATTCTATTCTATTCTATTCTATTCTATTCTATTCTATTCCATTCCATTCCATTCCATTCCATTCTATTCTATTCTATTCTATTCTATTCTACCCAGGTGCAGTTTTGGGAAATGAGTCTGAAATATGCCTACCTTTGGTTCTGTTTGGGTTGGTGCTTCGGTCTCTGGATGATGCATTGTTGCAATTTCTTGTATGATCGTATGAAGCCCCTTTGGGACCATCTCAAAGACAGGTTTGGTCTGGTGGAGAAGACAAAAGAAGTCAGCTTCTTGAAGGACCAGATTGTTACGGAGTGTGAATGTTGCTTTTCAAGAGAATTTTCGTTCCTTTCACCTGCTACTTACTTTTTTAAGAAGATGGTGGTCAAATCCACACCTTTACCCTTATTGAGGTAGAACACTTTGGCTACAAGTAAAGATTCCAGTCAAGGAGAAGACTGGATATCCAAAAAGTACTTTTTTCAGGAGACTTTCTTGTTTTTCTTTGAAGACATTTCGCTTCTCATCCAAGAAGCTTCTTCAGCTCTGACTGGATGGTGGGAAATGGAAGGATTTATACTCCATGCAGACAGCTGGTCATTTGCCTTCTTTTGGAGAGTCGTTGAGGCCACTTGGAGGTTTGTCTATGTCCTCAAGGTCAGCTGAGTGGTATACCCTCTCTCAATAGAGGGGGAGGATATGACATCGTCTATCTCCAATCTACAACACAGTCCTTTCAGCCGTTCCAAGAAGGCCCCACACCCATTTGCACCCCTCAGATGACCCAGTGGACACAGATAAACCTCCAGGTGGCCTCAACGACTCTCTAAAAGAATGCAAATGACCGGCTGTCTGCAAGGAGTATAAATCCTTCCCTTCCCCACCATCCAATCAGAGCTGAAGAAGCTTCTGAGAGGAGAAGCGAAACGTCTTCAAAGGAAAAACAAGAAAGTCCAGTTACCTCTTGAAAAAGCATCCTTGGGACAACCCTGAGAATCTCCAAAAACATTCAGAAGACTGGATAGAAGCAGGCCCAGTGGGGTTGGGAAGATGAGAGAAGAAAAAATGGGTGGAAATAACCAGGAAACAGATTTTAAAGGGCTGTGAAGACAATATCCACAATGGATATTATGGATCAGTGGACTAGATTGCTCTCAAAGATGGTTGGCTGGAGGCCATCTGCTTGGGATTCTGGAGTCATGGATTCCTGGGATTTGAACTAGAGGAGCTCAGAGATTCCAAATTCCCAACTCTTCCTTCCCATGATTCTGGGAGAACATTTCAAACAATAAGGGGCCTCCAGATCATCTCCAAGGCCCAAACCCAACTGATGGTTTTAAGAGTCTGAATTTCTCAAAGGGAAGGACCACCATACCTTCTCAAACAATATATGAAGGACTGAGCCTTCCTCAAAGGATGTTGGTTGAGGAATCCTTGTTTCCTGTGGAGGAGGAGATGGGAAGATTGGTGGAGTCTTCTCCGGAAGCGGAACAGATCCTGAAAAAAAAAAAAAGAATCCCATTTCAATTATGGGATTGGAGAAGTCTCTTGTCCTTCCCTCAATAAGTCGGCAATAGATGGAAACTAATCAAGGAGAGAAGCAACCCAGAACTAAGGAGACATTTCCTGACAGTGAGAACAATTAACCAGTGGAACTACCTGCCTCCAGAAGTTGTGAATGCTCCAACCCTGGAAGTTTTTAAGAAGAGACTAGACAGCCACTTGTCCGAAATAGTATAGGGTTTCCTGCCTGAGCCGGGGGTTGAACTAGAAGACCTCCAAGGCCCCTTCCAACTCTGTTATTCTGTTCTGTTCTGTTCTATTCTATTCTATTCTGTTCTGTTCTGTTCTGTTCCATTCCACTCCATTCCTTCCTTTCTATTCTGTTCTGTTCCGTTCCGTTCTGTTCCGTTCCGTTCTGTTCCTTCCTTCTTTCCTTCCTTTCTTCTATTCTATTCTGTTCTGTTCTATTCTATTCTATTCTATTCTATTCTATTCTATTCTATTCTATTCTATTCTATTCTATTCTATTCTATTCTATTCTATTCTTTCTGTAATTCTCTTCTCTTCCCCTTCCCTTCCCTTCCCTTCCATTCCATTCCATTCCATTCCATTAATTATTATTAACCTTGTTATGTGATAAATACAGGTAGTCCTCGACTTACAACAATAATTCCATTCTCAATTACGGTCGTAAGCAGAGGGCTATCTCCATAGCCATCTATTCTCCAAAGCACCAGAGGGCAGGAGGAGAAACAACGGATGGAAACTCATCCAGGAGAGAAGCAACCCGGAACTAAGGAGAAGCTTCCTAGCCGTGGGGACGATTGACCAGTGGAACTCCTTGCCTCCAGAAGTTGTGGGCGCTCCATCACTGGAGGTTTTTCAGAAGAGACTGGACTGGTCATTGGTCTGAAATGGGATAGGGTCTCCTGCCTGAACAGGGGGTTGGACTAGATGACCTCCAAGTTCCCTTCCCAACTCTGTGATTCAATTACAGACAATGCTTACGTGGAGCTTCAGAAGGAGGTGGCAAGATGGCCAAGGCTTCACTCTTTGGCACAGGATGGGATGGTGAGAGTTCCTTCTCAGCAGCTTTGGGTTCCTCAAGAATAGCTCTCCGTTCATCCTTAAGTTGTTCCACTGAGCTCGATTCGAGCAAGATAATGATGGGTCCAGTGGGTGTGTGTAAGGTGTCCAATGTCTTCTTGGATGGCATCTCGGTTGTCTTCTCTTCGTGTTGAATGGCTCGGTCCTCAGTCTGGATCTCTTTTTTCTCCTACAAAGGGAGTTGCAGAAAAATGAGAACAGCTGAGGAGGGACAAAATGTATTTGGGGCTAGATCAGTGGTTCTCAACCTTTTTAATGCCGCGACCCCCAACCGGTCGTAAGCCGAGGACTACTCAATCGGTCGTAAGTCAAGGACGACTCAACTGGTGCAGCAGCACCGTTTGCAGAATAGGACTTTTGGCGGGCTCAGCAGGGCAGAGACAGCCTGGACAATTCCGATTGGCTTTGGAAAGCCAATAGAATTAGACTCTATTCAAGAGAGTCTATTCTATTGGCTTTCAAAAGCCAATAGAACAAAAGGGAGTAGCACAGCTAAGGAAAAGGGGGAAAAAATGGCGGACTGCGTTGTTTGGCGACCCCCGTGAAATGGTCATTCGACCCCAAATGGGGTCCCGACCCACAGGTTGAGAATCACTGGGCTAGATGAAAGAAACAGAAATAGAACACACGGCATCATATTTTATGAAGGGTAAACAGCGGACTTTGGGAAATCTCTCATCCTGCTTCACCACGTAGGAAGAACGGTTGCAGGACTTGGGTATGGCTCGTTTAATGAAGAGAAGGACTCGAGGTGATGTGATAACGGTCTTCCAAGATCTCAGGGGTGGCCCCAAAGAAGAGGCAGCCAAGCTATTCTCCAAAGCAGAGGTCCCCAACCTTTTGGGCACCAAGGACCAATTCCGTGGAGAGAGGTTTTTCCACGGACCGGAGGGTGCGTGGTGTTGTGTGCTGCCTGCATCTCGTGGATGGGGCTTTGCTTCTTTGTGTGGCCCAGTTGCTGGCGTGATGCAGCCTGGTACTGGTCCTTTTGTAAAAAAAATTTATTTCAATTTTGCAATACAATACAATCATAAAAATACTTCAGATAAAAAATAAAACAAATTAATACATCCCATTTTTGGTATTGCTTACCCACTTCCCCCCAAACCGCATCCACCCTCTAACCAACTTACCTCTTTCCCTCTTCCTTCTCTTTCTCCCTCACCCTCTCTCCTCCACCTTCCTACGTACTTCTCACCTTCTTCTATCCTCTCACCCTAGATGCGGGGCCCGGTACTGGTCCACGGACCGGGGATTGGGGACTCCTGCTTCAAAGCGCCTGAAGGCAGGACAAGAAGCAACAGATGAAAACAAATCAAGGAGAGAAGCAACCTAGAACTAAGGAGGAATTTCCTGACAGTGAGAACAATTAACCAATGGAACTACCTGCCTCCAGAAATTGTGGGTGCTCCATCAGTGGAAGTTTTTAAGAAGAGACTGGACAGCCATTTGTCTGAAATGGTATAGGGTTTCCTGCCTGAGCAGGGGGTTGGACTAGATGACCTCTAAGGTCTCTTCCAACTCTGTTATTCTCTTTGAAGTCTAACAGAGAAGTCTAGGGAGTGATATGATAGCAGTCATTTGGGCTCATTTGTGGTTATAAGTCAAGGACTACCTCTATGTTCGGCAGCTTTAGTTATTTTTAAAAATAATAAAGGTGGGACCCTAATAATAATAATAATAATAATAATAATAGTAATAATGCCTATCCCAGGTCCTTGGTAAGGACTTGATAGGTAGACAAAATGCCAAATCCAGTCTGAACATCTGGCTGACTGTGCAATGATCCTCATTAATAACAACAACAACAGTCTGGCTCAGCTTGGAAACCTCTCCCTTCTCCCTCAGCATGGCTGGCTCAGGAATTCTGGGAGTTGAAGTCCACGAGGCATAAAAGAGCCAAGGTTGCCTAGCCCTGCCCTAGACCATTTCAGACAAATGGCCGTCCAGTCTCTTCTTAAAAACTTCCAGTGTTGGAGCATTCACCGCTTCTGAAGGCAAAGTTGTTCCACTGGTTAATTGTTCTGACTGTCAGGAAGTTTCTCCTTAGTTCTAGGTTGCTTCTCTCCTTGATCAGTTTCCATCCGTTGCTTCTTCTCCTGCCTTCAGGCGCTTTGGAGAATAGCTTGAGCCGTTCTTTTTTGTGGCCATCCCTGAGATATTGGAAGACTGCTATCTTGTTATTAATTAAATAAAATAAATAAAAACAGAGACCTTGTGAGGAGGGATATTCTCTTCTATGACTGGCTGAGACGCTAGGGATGACTCTTCACCCACCAATTCTTTCTGTTCTTCCAGAGCTCTGAAGTTCAGGTGGTTATCCTTGCAGAGGTCCTTGGTTTTTCGGGCTGTGAAGGTGAACCTCACATGAACCTTGACCAGCCCAGAGAAAGGTCCAGTTCTGAAATCCAGCCCAACTTCCCAACTTCCCAACTGCTCACTTACCATCGTGGCCCTCATCCCACCCCATCCCATCCCATCTCAGGCCACCCCTCAACTCGGCTGACACTCACTGGGACTCTTCGAACGAGGATCCGCAAACGTGGAGGAGATGGTCTCCATCACGAGGTCGACGTCGTACTTTCGGTCATCCAAGACTCCCTCCAATTCGGCGTTGAGACTCTCGCACAGGCTCGTGGCTCGGTTTATGGCGACCTAAACGGTCGCGACAATGCCGGAAGTCCGTTGAATTATTGGAAGTCATCAAAAGGATATTTTAAATTTTTTTTTGTCGTTCACACCTTTCATTTCCATTTGCATCCTTTCCTTAATGATTCTATTCAATAGTCTTCTTGTCCCACAGGGATTATCCCGCTGTGGCGAGTTGGTCCCAGACCCGAATTGTAGATGGCAAGGACCAGATTCCTCTCCTTAAGAATAGCTGCCTGTCCTACTAAACCCTGCTAGGTTCAGATCCCTTCCCTGAAATCCTGTCACAAAGTGGGACCTTGGAAGCACGCTGTCGGACCTGCCGCAGCTTAAGCCTCTAATTAGAAATGAATCTTGGCGCCATTTGTTGAGAAAAGTATAGCCACAGCAATAGCACTTAGACTTATACGCCGCTTCACAGTGCTTTACAGCCCTTCCTAAGCGGTTTACAGAATCAGCCTATTGTCCCCCAAAATCTGGGTCCTTCTTTTACTGACCTCTGAAGGACAGAAGGCAGAGTCAACCCTGAGCCGGTCAGGATCGAACTCCTGGCAGTGGGCAGAGTTAGCCTGCAATATCATACTCTAACCACTAGGAGGGAGGGAGGAAGGAAGGAAAGAGGGAAAGAAAGGAAGGAAGGAAGGGAGGGAGGGAGGGCAACAGCAATAGCACTTGGACTTATATACCTCTTCACACTGCTTTATAGCCCTCTCTAAGCGGTTTACAGAGTCAGCCTATTGTCCCCCAAAATCTGGGTCTTTCTTTTACTGACCTCGGAAGGACAGAAGGCAGAGTCAACCCTGAGCCGGTCAGGATCGAACTCCTGGCAGTGGGCAGAGTTAGCCTGCAATATCATACTCTAACCACTAGGAGGGAGGGAGGAAGGAAGGAAAGAGGGAAAGAAAGGAAGGAAGGAAGGAAGGGAGGGAGGGAGGGAGGGAGGGGGGGCAACAGCAATAGCACTTGGACTTATATACCTCTTCACACTGCTTTATAGCCCTCTCTAAGCGGTTTACAAAGTCAGCGTATCGCCCCCAGCAATCACTTAAAAACTGTTTCACTTAGCAATGGACATTGTGGGCTCAATTGTGTTCGTAAATCGAGGACCGTCTCTCTCTCTCTCTCTCTCTCTCTCTCTCTTTCTCTCTCTCTCTCTCTCTCTCATCTATCTATCTATCTATCTATCTATCTATCTATCTATCTATCTATCTATCTATCATCAAGGTCAGGGGTAGGCAACCTTGGCTCTTTATGACTGGTGGACTTCAACTCCCAGAATTCCTGAGCCAGCATGGGGGAAACTTTGGTCCCTTCATGACTCATGGACTTCAACTCCCAGAATTCCTGAGCCAGCATGGGGGAAACTTTGGTCCCTTCATGACTCATGGACTTCAACTCCCAGAATTCCTGAGCCAGCATGGCTCAGCATGGAAACCTCTCCCTTTCCCCTCAGCATGGCTGGCTCAGGAATTCTGGGAGTTGAAGTCCACGAGTCATAAAAGAGCCGAGCTTGCCTACCCCTGGGCTAGGGACATGGGAGCCATATAATTTAATAATTAGCAACCAATAAATAAATAAGTGCCCTTTCCCTCCGATTGTTCACCCCATAGGAAAAAAAAGAGCGACAATACCGTTTTCTCCTCCCGCAGGTACATAGTCTGTGACATAGGATCGGAGGAACCAGCAACCATCTTATATGCTTCTGAGCTCCAAACTAAATAAAAATAATAATTCAATTTGTTTGATCACAAACATTGATATATCCTGGCTCTCCTTCAGCTGGTTCAACCCTTCCATTCCAGACTTTCCAGGACAAAATTGATCTCTGTTTTTCATAATTCTTCCATTTCATAATTTTGGGCCCCCACCACCTTCAACCATCCTGGTTCTTTTGAAATCATAATGCAGGATGTTAAATGACGTTTGCCACAAGCCAGTTTGCTGGGAGGGGGGCACGGGTGGGGGGGGGTTCAGGGTGTGGTTGTGGGGTTTCAGTCCATGCCCTTCCTCTGTCGTGTAAGGAAAACAGGACACTAGTCCTCATGGTTCCAAAATAAGAATGGGCTAGTTTAGGTAGGAGTTACAATCAGTGGTAGCACCTGAAGTGGGCGGAGTTAACTCCTGGAGGGGAGACCACTAAGAAATACCAAAGCCATAGGCTTAACTTCCAAGTGTGGTCTTACCAAGGCATTATAAAGTGTTAATATCATTTTATAATGCCTTGGTAAGACCACACTTAAAATACTGATTTTGGTCGCCACAAGGTAAAAAAGAAGTTGAGACTCTGGAAAGAGCAACAAAGTTGATTAAAGGTCTATGAAGAGCGATTGCAGGAATTTGATATGTCTAGTTTAATGAAGAGAAGGACGAGGGGGGACATGATAGCAGTGTTCCAATATCTCAGGGGCTGTCCCAAAGAAGAGGCAGTCAAGCTATTCTCCAAAGCCCCTGAAGGCAGGACAAGAAGCAACAGATGGAAACTAATCAAGGAGAGAAGCAACCTAGAACTAAGAAGAAACTTCCTGACAGTCAGAACAATTCATCAGTAGGACAACTTGCCTCCAGAAGTTGTGAATGCCCAACACTGGAAGTTTTTAAGAAAAGATTGGAAAACCATTTGTTTGAATGGTATAGGGTTTTCTGCCTGAGCAGGGGGTTGGACTAGAAGACCTCTAAGGTCCCTTCCAACTCTAAACTAGGAAATCTCAAAAACACTTGTGAAAAAGACAACAGTTGTGGGGTCCTTGGGGCTCTCTGAGGCTGACTGTTTTCTTGCAGACGTTTCATGACCCAACTAGGTAACATCATCAGTGCTAGAAAGGAGTGTGGGGTTTGCTCTCTGTTGATATAAATGTGGCTGGCCCTGTCAGTGTTGGTGGGAATAATTCCTTGATTAGCCTGTGATTTACTGTTTGAATGTGTACCTGAATAGGTAGCTCTTTGACAGGGGTATTGTTCACTGTTTGTTGGTCTGGTGCAGGGATAGGCCACCTTGGCTCTTTGACGACTCGTGGACTTCAACTCCCAGAATTCCTGAGCCAGCCATGCTGAGGGGAAAGGGAGAGGTTTCCAAGCTGAGCCATGCTGGATAAGGGATTCTGGGAGTTGAAGTCTACGAGTCATGAAGGGGCCATAGTTTCCCCATGCTGGCTCAGGAATTCTGGGAGTTGGAATTCTGGGGTAGTATCAAGATGACGTGAAGTGTTAATGCCACTTTACAAGGCCTTGGTAAGGCCACACTTGGAATACGGCATCCAGTTTTCGTCACTGCAATGTAAAAAAGATGTTGAGACTCTAGAAAGAGAAGAGCAGCAAAAATGATTAGGGGACTGGAGGCTAAAGCATATAAGGAATGGCTGCTGGAATTGGGTATGAAGAGAAGGACGAGGGGGGACATGATAGCAGCCTTCCAGTATCTCAGGGGCTGCCCCAAAGAAGAGGGAGTCAAGTTATTTTCCAAAGCGCCTGAAGGCAGGACAAGAAGCAACAGGTGGAAACTAATCAAGGAGAGAAGCAACCTGGAACTAAGGAGAAACTTCCTGACAGTGAGAACAATTAACCAGTGGAACAACCTGCCTCCAGAAGCAGTGAATTCTCCAACACTGGAAGTTTTTAAGAAGAGACTGGACAGCCATTTGTCTGAAATGGTATAGAGTTTCCTGCCTGAGCAGGGGGTTGGACTCGATGACCTCCAAGGTCCCTTCCAACTTTACTATTACTACTACTACTACTACTACTACTACTACTACTATTATTATTAAGTCCACGAGTCATGAAGGGGCCATAGGTCTCCCATGCTGGCTCAGGAATTCTGGGAGTTGAAGTCCACGAGTCATAAAAGAGCTAAAGTTGCCTACCCCTGGTCTAGTGTTAATCTTGATGGCCATCAACAGGCACATAGAGATAAGCAACGTTTACATATCATTCAAAAGAGATCATCTAAAGGCCCAAAATGAAACAAATAAAAAGAGCAAAACACCGCCCTGTTAGCAATCAACACAGAGATAAGCAGAGAGCAACATCAAAATTAATATTAGACCAACAATCGAACAGTAAACAATAGTCTAATAATCAAGGCGCTATCAATTCAAATATAGGTAGTCCTCGATGTACCACAATTGTGACCAACATTTCTATTGTTAAGTGAGATCGTTGTTAAGTGAGCGCGGCCCCCTTTTATGAACTTTCTTGCCACAGTGCAGTTGTTAATGATGAGTAAAGTTGTGTTAAGTGAATGTGGCTTCGGTAGACAGGAGGTCGAAAAAGGGGATCTCATGACCCTAGGACACTGCAACCATCATAAATAGGAGTCAGTTGCCAGGCATCACCATTTTGTTCACGTGACCAGGGGGATGCCACAACGATTGTAACTGTTGAAAAAAGATCATGTCACTTTCTTCAGTGTTGTAACTTTGGATGGTCATTAAATGAACTGTTGTAAGTTGAGGATTTCCCGTAAGTTAACCATAAACAACAGCCTCATCAAGGAATCACCAAAAGCACTCCCACCAATACTGACAAGACAGTGTAGATAAACAGAGAGCAAACCCCACTGACTCCCTTCTAGCACTGATGATGTTACCTAGTTGGGTCATGAAACGTCTGCAAGAAAACAACCAAGTTCAGAGAGCACCAAGCACCCCACAATCCTGCTCCTCCTGCTGCTTCTCCTCCTCCTGCTCCTCCTCCTCCTCCAACCCCATATTCCCTTCTGGCACTGATGATGTTACCTAGTTGGGTCATGAAACGTCTGCAAGAAAACAAGCCAGCTCAGAGAGCACCAAGCACCCCACAATCTTCCTCCTGCTCCTGCTCCTGCTCCTCCTGCTCCTGCTCCTGCTTCTCCTCCTCCTCTAACCCCATATTCCCTTCTGGCACTGATGACGTTACCTAGTTGGGTCATGAAAGATCTGCAAGAAAACCACCAAGTTCAGAGAGCACCAAGGACCCCCCCCCCAATTCATCCCTGAGCTCCAAATATTCTCTTCCATTGGTCAAGAGAACAACAAGCGATGTTTCTGGCCCAAAAGACAGTCAGCAGGGATGGTCTATGTAGTCACACAGACTGAAGCCAAAGCTGAAGGGTGGAAGGTCGCATGGAACTAGAGTATTTCATCACTTCTCCAGCCTCTTCGAAGGCGTCAGAAGCAGGATAGGAGCTACTTTTAATGAGCAGTGAGGCCTCCAAAATTCGCACGCCAGGTCCATTCCTGGTTCCTCCCTCCCTCCCAGCTGACCGCTCTGCTTTTCCACTCACATTCTGCCATGATCTTGGCTTGCGAGAGCTGAAATTCAGGGCATCGTGGTTTCCCCACCCAGGCCAGCCACCATCCCAAGGGTGGCGGCCAAGGCTAAAGATTTTCCCATCATTCCAAGCGGTCCTTGTGATGTAGCGTGTGACATCACAGATCGGGCGATGGGCCAGCTTTTCCCTGCAGTCGGGGTGGGGGCACTACAATGCCCAGTATCCACAACTATTTTTCTTGTATTTCCTTCTTTCTTCCTTTTTCTTGTATTTCCTTCCTTTCTTTGTTTCTTCCTATTTTGTTCCTTCTTCCTTCCTTTTTCTTGTCCTTCCTTCCTTCCATCTCTCTCTTCCTTTTCAATCATTTTTTTTCCTTCCTTCCTTCCTTCCTTCCTTCCTTCCTTCCTTCCTTCCTTCCTTCCTTCCTTCCTTCCATCCATCCATCCATCCATTTCTCTTATCTCTGCTTCTTTCCTCGCCTTCCTTCTTCCTCTCTTTCTCTATCTCTCCCTCTCCCTTCCTTTTCTATCCACCATCCTTCCTTCCTTCCTTCCTTCCTTTCCTTCCCTCTCCATCCTCTCCTCTTCACTTTTTCCCCTCCCTCCCTCCCTTCCTTCTTTCCTTCCTTCCTTCATCTCTTTCTCTCCCTTCTTTTTCTATCATTTTCCTTCCTTCCTCCCTTACACCCATCCATCTCTCTTATCCCTGCATCTTTCCTCACCTTCCTTCCTTCTTCCTCCCTTTCTCTATCTCTCCCTCTCCCTTCCTTTTCTATCTACCATTCTCCCTCCTTCCTTCCTTCTCTCTCTTCCCATCTTCCCCTCTTCATTTTTCCCCTCCCTCCCTTCCTTTAGCTCCCTCCTTCCTTCCTTCCTTCCTTCCTTCCTTCCTTCCTTCCTTCCTTCCTTCCTTCCTTCCTTTCTTCCTTCCTTCCTTCCTCCTTCCCTCTTTCCCTTCCCTGTTTTTGCTTGGTTCCCTTGAGTTTGTTTATGTTCTTTTAATTTTTTTTTTCATATATATATATTGTAAATAATAATCACAGCATGCACCAGATGCCCTGCTCACACACAATGGTGCTGCGCTCATGGCTGATGGGTGTTGCCCTTCCATCCTTAGTCTCTTTCTGGGCATCTCCCAAGTTTAAAACTGAGCAGAATGTGTGTGTTGTATGAAAGGCAAGTGCTTTGGTTAACCCAAGGGATATTAGCTGAGTGCATTGGTGGAGCCTTTGAGGCTCTGTGAGCCTGGGAGTTTCTTTGCAGACGTTTCGTTACCCAACTAGGTAACCTCATCAGTGCCAGAAGGGAGGAGGAGGAGGAGGAGGAGGAGGAGGAAGAGGAGGAGAAGGAGGAGGAAGGAAGGAAGGAAGGAAGGAAGGAAGGAAGGAAGGAAGGAAGGAAGGAAGGAAGGAAGGAAGGAAGTGGAGTCTTGGTGCTCTCTGAGTTTGGTTGTTTCCTTGCAGACGTTTCATTACCCAACTAGGTAACCTCATCACTGCTAGAAGGGAGTGGAGTTTGCAGGGAGAAGGAGGAGGAGGAGGAGGAAAGGAAAGAAGGAAGGAAGGAAGGAAGTGGAGTCTTGGTTCTCTCTGAGTTTGGTTGTTTCCTTGCAGATGTTTCATTACCCAACTAGGTAACCTCATCAGTGCTAGAAGGGAGTGGAGTTTGCAGGGAGAAGGAGGAGGAGGAGGAGGAGGAGGAGGAAGGAAGGAAGGAAGGAAGGAAGGAAGGAAGGAAGGAAGGAAGGAAGGGAGGAAGTGGAGTCTTTCATGCTCTTTGAGCTTGGTTGTTTCCTTGCAGACGTTTCATGACCCAGCTAGGTAACCTCATCAGTGCTAGAAGGGAGTGGAGTTTGCAGGGAGAAGGAGGAGGAGGAGGAGGAGGAAGGAAGGAAGGAAGGAAGGAAGGAAGGGAGGGAGGGAGGGAGGAAGTGGAGTCTTTCATGCTCTTTGAGCTTGGTTATTTCCTTGCAGACGTTTCATGACCCAACTAGGTAACCTCATCAGTGCTAGAAGGGAGTGGAGTTTGCAGGGGGGAGGAAAAGGAGGAGGAGGACGACAACTATGGGGTCCTTGGTGCTCTCTGAACTTGTTTGTTGTCTTGCAGACATTTCATGACCCAAACTAGGTAACATCATCAGTGCTAGAAGGGAGTGGGATTTGGGGGGGGGAGGAGGAGGAGGAAGGGGACTGTGGAGTCCTTGGTCCTTTCTGATCTTAGTTGTTTTCTTGCAGACATCTCATGACTCAACTAGCTAACACCATCAGTGCTAGGGCTTGCTCTCAGTAGCTTGCCTTGCCAGTACTGGTGGGGTTACGGCTTTCTCCTCAGTAATTCCTTTATTAGAAGATTATTTTCTGCTTGAGTGTTTGTTTGGTGTTGTTTCCCGCTTATCTGAGTATTGGCTGCTGGAGGGGACCGTTCTGGTTTTTTTTTTCTCCCCCCAGCTTCTTTATTGTCTCTTTTGAATGGTGTGTAAAGGTGGTTTATCTCTGTGTGTCCGTCGATGACTAATTTGTCCAAATGCTAAATTTTCAGGAACTCCCTTGCATTTTTTGGGGTATTTAGCCTAGAATGCTCAGGTTGAAACCAGGGCTGAATCTGTCCACACGTTGTGAGATTGTGGAGTTTTCATAATCAACTTACAACCGTTTGCTTAGTGACCGTTTGAAGTGACAAGGAGACGGGAAAAAAAGTGACTTCATAACATTTTTCACACGACTGTTGCAAGCATCCCTGGTGTCACATGATCCAAATTCGGATGCTCAACAACTGACTCATATTTACGACGGTTGCAGTGTCCCAGGGTCACCTGATCCTCTTTTTACGACCTTCTGACAAACCAGATCAAAAGGAAGCCAGATTCTCTTCTTAACTTACCAACTGCTGGGGTTCTCTTAAGGACTGTGGCAAGAGAGATGCTAAAATGGGGGAAAGCTTACTTAACAATTGTCTCGCATAGCGACGGAATTTTGGAACTCAGTTGTTGTCATAAGTCAAGGATTACCTGTATCCTGTTTAGGAGACCCAAACTTTTACCCTCTCCATTTCTAGCCTTTCATTTTTTTTCTGGAGGAAAAAAATATATCTTGTATTCTTAAAGAAAAGCCCAAGTCGGTTTTTGATGGTAACTGCTAAACCCCTTCCACAGAACCAACCAGGTTAAAAAATTGTGCTGCATTTAACTTGACTTCCACTTCGATGGCAAATTTAAAAGCTAGCCGCCTTTTACAACTGGCTAATAATCTTATGTTTTTTGCTGCCACAGAAACATAACTGGAACAAAATAAGAGAGAGCCAAACGGAAAAACTTTCCACCTGGGTGGCAGGGCCGTTATTTCGTAAACGGATTGGGGGTAAAAAAAAAAAAAAAGACTAATGAAAAGGAGAGTTTTAGGAACTCTGGGTGGCCACGTGTTAATGGTGGAACTCCTTGCCACAAGATGGTGGTAAACTGGAAGGTGTTGAAAACCATTTTGCAATAGTTGTGTGAAAAATGACTGAGAGTCCTTTTTTTCAGTGCTGTTGTTAAATTTGAGAGGCTATAAATATATTGATGTAAGTCAAGGTCTACCTGTATTTGATTTGTATTAGAATAGAATAGAATAGAATAGAATAGAATAGAATAGAATAGAATAGGAGAGGAGCGGAGAGGAGAGAAGAGGAGAATAGAGAACAAAATAGAGAATACAATATAGTATATAGAGAATAGAATAGAATAGAGAACAGAATAAAGAACAGAATAGAGAATAGAATATAGAATATAGAGAATAGAATAGAATAGAGAATAGAGAACAGAATAGAGAATAGAATATATAGAATAGAATAGAGCTGGAAGGGACCTTGGAGGTCTTCTAGTCCAGCCCCCTGCTCAAGCAGGAGAACCTACACCATCTCAGACAGGTGATTGTCTAGTCTCTTCTTACAAACCTCCAGTGTTGGAGCGCCCATGATTTCTGGTGGCAAGCTGTTCCACTGCTTGATTGTCCTCACTGTCAGGAAGTTTCTCCTTAATACCAGGTTGCTTTTCTCCTTGACCAGTTTCCAACTATTGTTTCTCGTCCTTCCCCTCTGGTGCCCTAGTGAACAAGCTGACCCCCTCTGCCTTGTGGCAGCCCCTCAGATACTGGAAGACTGCTATCATGTCTCCCCCATTTATTCTTGTCCTGCAGCCATTCTTCGTATGTTTTAGTCTCCAGGCCTTGGATCATCTTAGTTGCTCTTCTCTGAATTTTTTCCAAACTCTCAACATCTTCTTTGTTATATGGTGACCAAAATTGGTTGCAGTATTCCAAGTGTGGTCTTACTAGGGGTTTTATAGAGCGGTACCAATCCCTCGTGTGATCTTGATTCTATTCCTGTTTATACAACCCAGGATTGTATTAGCTTTTTTGGCTGCTGCTGCACACGGCTGGCTCATAGTCAAGGGATCGTCCACTAGGACTCCAAGGTCCCTCTCACAGTTGCTGTTTTGAGCCAGGTCTCGCCCAATCTGTACTTGTACCTTTGGTTTTTCCTGCCTAAGTGTAAGACTTTGATTTTTTTCCACATTGAAACTCATTTTGTTGGATAGGGCCCATAGTTTGAGTTTGTCAGGATTTTTTTGGGATCCTGAGTTTGTCTTCTGGGGTGTTGGCTACTCCTGCCTGTTTGGTGTCATCTGCAAATTTGATAAGTTCCCCTTTAATTCCCTCATCTAAGTCATTTATGAAGATATTGAAGAGTACTGGGCCTAAGACGGAGCCTTGTGGTACCCCAATGCTAACTTCTCTCTATGTGAATGTAGTGCTGTTGATGACTACTCATTGAGTATAGTTTGTCAGCCAGCTACAGATCCATCTGGTGGTGATGTTGTCTATTGTCTATTTGTATTATATTTGTATTGTTCTATTCTATTCTATTCTATTTTGTAATTCTTATTCTATTCTATTCTGTAATTCTTATTCTATTCTATTAATTCTTATTCTATTCTATTCTGTAATTCTTATTCTTATTCTTATTCTATTCTATTCTATTCTATTCTATTCTATTCTATTCTATTCTATTCTATTCTATTCTATTCTATTCTATTCTATTCTATTCCATTCCATATTCTACTCTACTCTACTCTACTCTATTCTATTCCTTATTCTATTCTGTTCTATTCTATTCTATTCCTAATTTTAATTCTAATTCTATCCTAATCCTAATCCTATTCTCTCAATTCAATCCCCATTAATGGAAATAGGACTTTGGTATGGTCCTGCACAATCTATATTCTTATAATTGGAAACTGAGTTTTCCTGTGTTGTTCCTTCTATTCCTAAGAAAAACTGACATGCATAAATCAAAGACCTTCTCCATTCTTCCCTTTTCTACTTCCTTTTCAGTGTAATTCCCTTCTGTAGTTCCCCCCCCCCCATACGAGTTTTCCCTTGGCTGTTGTCCTTTCCCATTGCATAACCCCCCCCCACCCGATTGCCTGCTGCCACGTGCATAAGCCATCTCTCAAGCTTCCAGTCCTCATGTTCCCCACTTCTCATTCCCAATTAGCAAAACCCACCTCATTATATCACCTGGAACAAAACAATTGGGACAGTTGGATGACTACCCCCCCCTTTGGTAAACATGAAAAGTCTCTTGTATTTTTTGAATGCAATATGATATTAGTTTTATTTTTGTGAGTTAAGGCACAGGTTATAAATCGACAATGGAAGCATGGTGGGGAAATCCGTTTACCCAACGTATAACAGAGTTGTTCGAAAACTCTGAAAAGTCATTACAAGCAAGGAGTTGAAAATGAAACAAATCTGATGAGCTATGATGGTTCCTCTCCTTCAAAGATAAGACTTGATTCCACCCTGTAAATCAGGGGTCTTCAAACTGGGCTATTTTAAGACTTGCGGACTTCAACTCCCAAAATTCCCCAGCCAGCCATGCTGGCTGGAGAATTCTGGGAATTGAAGTCCACAACTCTTAAAGTCGCCCACTGTTGTAAATGATGGGAAGAACTTCAACCAGGGGATGCTACACTGCCCTAGATAATATCCCTTGCAAATACAGAAGACATTTTGCAAAGATATTTAACCTCATTTTCCCTTCTCCCAACTAAAGTCTATAGGCACCGAGAAAAGCTGAAATAAAAACAACCCAGATAATTTACTAACCTTTGTCTCCATCCCTTCATCCCACTTAAATTTCTGGCCATTTCAGCTTTCTCGGTTCTGGAAGCATTTGCAAAAAAAAAAAAAAAAAAAACCCCTAACTCTGTGCCCTCAGCAGAAAAAGGGGAGGAAAAAAGATCAATTAAGCCAGAGAATTATCACCAGGAAAAGGGGGGAATCAGAAGAAAAAGGCACTACTTAGGTGTAATTGGTTAACTTCCCCGCTGCTTGCACCAAACTGAATCATTCTTTTGTTTCCGAGATTTCCCTTGCAAAAACTAATCTCTCTGCCATCCCCAAGAAGGTGAAAAATATAGATAATCCCTTCTTCCTTTGGGCCACATCCACTGAAAATGGATTCTCCTAATCCTGCAAAGTCAAAAAAGTGGGTGTTGAGTAGGTGGGGAGGAAAAATGCCTCCCAAATTGCCGATTTACTAAATTTCACTGGATCATGTTAGGAAAACAAAAGCAACTGGACTATCAAAAAAAAACAAAAAACCCTTGGCTTTACGTGGTTGAGAAAGCTTTTGCACCCAGAATTCTATATTTATTTAAACTATTGGCAGCCGAGCTTAATTCTTCTCTTTGCTCCAAAACCCCCCCCCCCAAAAAAACAAAATACCCTTCTTACACTTAACAATACTCTAAATTGCTCACATCCTTGAAATCCTATTTCATTTCTATTTCTTCCCCCTCTGGTTTTCCCGAGGCCGCGAAAGGGCCTACGAGCCAAGTAAGGGGGACATTTTGTACCACGTGATCCATCAGCTCATCCGTCAACTGACGGGCCTTGGCGACTTTTTCCCGGCTCTGAGCTAGGAGGGATCCCGACAGGTCCTGGAAGGACCCAGCGGTTGTGAAGGCACTTCGGAGCTCCTCCACGTTCTGACGGACCAGACCGACTTTCTCTTGAAGCCCGGCTGGCAGACCTTGGAGGTTGGAGACCAATGTTGTCGTAGCCGACTGGAGCTGCTGGGTGAGGCCGCGGGAGACCTCCAGCGCTTGGGACTCGATCTCCTGCAACAGGGATCCAAGCAAGAGTCAGGTTAGTTAGCTCTTCAGGTGGTTGTGTGTAGAGCAGGGGTCCCCAATCCCAGGTCTGTGGACCGGTAGCGGGCCACGGCACGCCAGCAACCGGTCCGCACAAACAAGCAAAGCCCCATCCGCGAGATGCAGGCAGCACACAAAACCACACCCTCTCCGGTCCGCGGAAAAAACCTCTCTCCGGTCCCTGGTGTCCAAAAGATTGGGGACCTCTGGTCTACAGCAGTGTCCCCAACCTTTGTGGCTTGGCGGCCCGGCTGGGGGAAGAGGGGGATGCCTGGCTGAGTTTGAGCAACTCACGCGAGCAGAAGGCTGGCGTTCACATGCAGCTCAACTACTTGACTTATGCGTATGCTGGCCCACCACTCATGCAGCCCGATTCCCGCCCCCCCCCCCAGCTATGTGAGCTGCAGTGGGCAAGCTGCGAGCGCACACGTGCATGCCAGCCCACCACTCGCACGAGTCGAGCTGTGCATGCACAGGCACGCTGCCCTGCCGTTTATGCGGCCCAGTTGCAAATAGGCCACAGCTCGATAGTGGGCCATGGCTCAGTGGTTGGGGACCCCTGGTCTAGAGATTGGACAACCATTTGTCTAGAATGGGATAAGGTTTCCTGCCTGAGCAGGGGTTGGGTTAGAAAAGACATCACCAACCTTTGTCAGTTGGCAGACCGGAGGAAAAGGGAGTGGGAAAGCAATTTACATGTATGCACGCAGGGGGCTGCGAGCATGCACCGCAAACGGGGTGGGGCTAGCGCCCGCGTAGTACTAGCCCTGCCCCATTCTTGTGTGGTGCAGCATATTGTTTCTGCACCCCATGGCGCAGCGGCGGCCTGTTTTTGCACCCCGCAGCGCAGTGGTGACTCATTTTCGTGCCCCGAGGCCCGGCGGCATCCCGTTTTCGCAGCCTGAGGCGTGGCGGGATCCCGTTTCCACACCCCAAGGTGCAGCATTGGTGTCCCATTTTCACACCCCGAGGCACGGCGGTGTCCCGTTTTTGCGGCCTGAGGTGTGGCGGGATCCTGTTTCCACACCCCAAGGTGCAGCATTGGTGTCCCATTTTCACGCCCCGAGGCACGGCGGTGTCCCATTTTCGCGCCCTGCAGTGGCGGCCCATTTTTGCACCCGGCTACTGCGCTAGTGCAAATGAGGGAGTGTGCCTGTCCCGGCCCGCAGGTTGGGAACCCCTGGAATAGAGGTCTCTTCCAACTCTGTTATTCTGTACCTGTGTCTCGGGAACATCCTTCTGGGTCTTCTTAGGAGACTGTTTTTGCTGCCACTGCAGCCACATCTGATGGAGCTTTTCCTGGCCCCCTTGAATCTTCTGATCGACCCCCTGTTTGACGTGTTCAATCTGGGAAGAGACCAAGGAAATGGCTGAGTCGGCCATTCCGAAAAAAAAAAAATGGGGGAAAAAAAAGCAATACCTGCCTCTTAAGCAGAGGGAGAAACTGAATGTTGGAATATTCATGAGCAGGAAGAGTCCTGGGGTAACTCAGTCAGCCAATGTGAGCAAAGTGCTACTGAGTCTGTGCAAAAAGAGTATTGAGTTAGGAGCTGGATTTCCAGTCTCAAAGTTTTGTCTCTGGTCTGTCTCCGTAAGAAGTCTACATTAAGCTATGTTGCTGTACAGAAGAATGGTATTGTAAATATTTTTATATAAATATAAAGTTATTTAGCTAAATGCAGTCAACTGTGAGAGCTTCTGATTTATTTTTCACCAATAGAGAAATTAAAATTCTCTAACACTGAAGTTCTTGAGAACTTGGGTCTTTCTTCTTCTTATCACGGAAGGAAATCCTAGACCTACAACAGTGGGTGGCGAACCTATGGCACGCGGGCCAGAGGCGGCACTCGGAGCTCTCTCTGTGGGCACGCGCACCGTCGCCCCAGCCCTGCCTCCTCCCATGGCCCCCTCCTCCCCAGCAGCCCTCCAGAGGAGAGTCACCCCCGGACACGGCCCACGCAATGCTGCACAGCCAAGAACCTGGTAGCTGGGCAGCGGGAACAAGACTCCGCCCTTGCACCCCGTCATATGCAGATGATGCTGCAGGGCACAGGCGGAGGGCGTGGACACCATTTATTTATTTATTTATAAGACTTATATACCGCTTTAAGTGCAAGCACTCTCTAAGCGGTGTACACCAGTAAGCAATGTATATATATATATTTACGTTGCCCCCAACAATCTGGGTCCTCATTTTACCTACCCCGGAAGGATGGAAGGCTGAGTCAACCTTGAGCCGGTGAGATTTGAACCGCTGAGCGGCTGAACACAGTCAGCTAAAGTGGCCTGCAGTACTGCACCCTAACTGCTGCGCCACCTCGGCTCTTCATGGAGCTGCTGGGCTGCCTGGGTGATCTATGGCGGGCCATGGAAGTGGTGGGTGGTCCAGCGGGCACAGCGGAGTGGGGACAGGGGTGGGGGTGGTGGTTTTTGGGCACTCGGTCTCTAAAAGGTTCACCATCACTGACCTACAATTATTCGTTTAGTGACCTAGATCACAACAGCTCTGGAAAAAAGGACTGGCCATCCTCGTAAGGAACATCGCAGCATCTCCCTGGTCACGTGATCAACATTTGGGCCCTTGGCCACCAGCGTGTGTTTACGATGGGTGCAGCGCCCCAGAGATGTGCGATCCCCATTTCCGACTTTCCTAGCCAGCTTCCGATGAACAAAATCAATGAGGGAAGCTGGATTGGCTTAATGACTGTGTGATTCAATGAACAACGGCACTGATTTGCTTCACCACCACATGCAGAAGAAAAGAGAGGGGCAAGCACTGGAAAAATCAGAGCGACCATGTGACAAACATGGACATTGTGAGGACAGTGGCGCTCCTGGGTCTGGGTTCTAAACACAACCAAACCACCATTGGATCAAAAAGGGCCATTCCTGGTTGTGTTTCTTTCTGCACTGTTCTTCAGGATGAGGTTACATGTAGGTAGAGAGAATATAGACAGTGATAGATTGTAGATATAGAGATGAGATATAGATAGATAGATAGATAGATAGATAGATAGATGGATGGATAGATAACAATAGCACTTAAACTTATCTACTGCTTCACAATGCTTTACAGCCCTCTCTAAGCAGTTTACAGAGCCAGCCTATTGCTCACAACAGTCTGAGTTCTCCTTTTATCAACCTCGGAAGGATGGAAGACTGAGGCAACCTTGGGCTGGTTGGGATTGAACTGGTGGCAGTCAGCAGTTTGCTCAGAATGCTGCATTCTAACCACTGTGCCACCACAGCGAGAGAGAGAGAGAGAGAGAGAGAGATGAGATAATATAGAGATATATATATAGATATACAGAGAGAGAGAGAGAGAGAGAATATACAGATATTGTAGATATAGAGATGAGATAGATAGATAGCTGATAGATAGATCGAGAGAGAGAGAGATGAGATAGTAGAGATAGAGATATATAGATATATACATAGAGAGAATATAGACAGTGATAGATATTATAGATATAGAGATGAGATAGATAGATAGATAGATATAGATCGAGAGATATGAGATTTTATATATATAGATAGATAGATAGAGAGAGAGAGAGAGAGAGAGATAGTGATAGATATTGTAGATATAGAGATGAGATAGATAGATAGATAGATAGATATAGAGACAGATAGATATATATAGAGAGAGAAATGGATGGATAGTTAGATAGATAGCAATAGCACTTAAACTTATCTACCGCTTCACAGTGCTTTACAGCCCTCTCTAAGCAGTTTACAGGGTCAGTACATTTGCCCCCAACAATCTGGGTCCTCATTTTACCGACCTCAGAAATACGGAAGGCCGAGTCAACCTTGAGCTGGTCAGGATCGAATTGCTGGCAGTCAGCAGAATTAGACTGCAATACTGCATTCTAACCAGGGAGAGAGAGAGAGAGAGAGAGAGAGAGAGAGAGAGAGACAGAGACAGAGAGAGAGAGACAGAGAGAGACAGAGACAGATAGATGGAAATTCTAGATAGACAGACAGAGAGAAATATATGATAGATAGATGATAGTTAGCAATAGCAATAGCCCTTAGACCAGTGGTTCTCAACCTTTTTAATGCCGCGACCCCCAACCGGTCGTAAGTCAAGGACTACTCAACGGGTCGTAAGTCGAGGACTACTCAACTGGTGCAGCACCATTTGCAGAATGGGACTTTTGGCGGGCTCCGCAGGGCAGGGACAGCCTGGACAATTCCTATTGGCTTTTGAAAGCCAATAGAATTAGACTCTATTCAAGAGAGTCTATTCTATTGGCTTTCAAAAGCCAATAGAACAAAAGGGAGTAGCACGGCTAAGGAAAAGGGGGAAAAAATGGCGGACTGCGTTGTTTGGCGACCCCCGTGAAATGGTCATTCGACCCCAAATGGGGTCCCGACCCACAGGTGGAGAATCACTGCCTTAGACTTATACAACGCTTCACAGTGCTTTACAGCCCTGTCTAAGAGTCAGCCTATTGCCCCTCCAACAATCTGGGTCCTCCTTTTACCGACCTCGGAAGGACGGAAGGCCGAGTCAACCTCGAGCCGGTCAGGATTGAACTGCAGGCAGGGAGCAGAGTCAGCCTGCAATGCTGCATTCTAACCACAGCGCCCCCAGGTCTTTCATCCCCTACCCGTTTCTCCTTACCAGTTCAATGGTCTGGTGCAGCTGGGACAGGGTGTCCTGGGTGCCCTGCTTGGCCTTTTTCAACTTGGCCAGGGAGTGTTGGAAAGCCCGGTGACGAAGTTTACTGGACAAGGACCCCAGCCGCACAAAGTAACTTTTCTGCTCCTTCTGCTGTTCCACCGTGCCAGTTTCGAAGCCTTCCACGGAGGTAGCCAGCTGGGCTAGAAAAAAAAAAGTGATTAAAAACTGGGTTTACCCAACACACCCCGCCAACACAAGGGATCTTTGTAGCTCAGGGTTGAACTGTGGGGTCCTTGGTGCTCTCTGAGCTTGGCTGTTTTCTTACAGACGTTTCATGACCCAACTAGGCAACATCATCAGTGCTAGAAGGGAGGGGGCCTTGCGGAGAGGAGAAGAATAGAAAGAAAGAGAGAAAGAAAAAGAAAGAAAGAGAAAGAAAGAGAAAAAGGAAGGAAGGAAGGACTGTCGGGTCCTTGGTGCTCTCTGAGCTTGGCTGTTTTCTTGCAGATGTTTCATGACCCAACTAGGCAACATCATCAGTGCTAGAAGGGAGGGGGCCTTGCAGAGAAGAGGAGGAGGAAGAGAATAGAAAGAGAAAGAAAAAGAAAAAGAAAGAAAAAGAAAGAGAGAAAGACAGAAAGAGAAAGAGAATGAGAGAGAGAAAGAAAGAAAGAAAGAAAGAAAGAAAGAAAGAAAGAAAGAAAGAAAGAAAGAAAGAAAGAAAGAAAGAAAGAAAGAAAGGACTGTGGGGTCCTGGGTGCTCTCTGAGCTTGGTGGTTTTCTTGCAGACATTTCATGACCCAGCTAGGCAACCTCATCAGTCCTAGAAGGGAATAAGGTTTGCTCTTGTTTATGTATAGTAGCTTGCCCTGCCAGGATTGGTGAAACTCTGGTTTTTCTCCTTCATATTTTTTTGACTGGGGTATTGTTTACTTCCCGAATGTTTGTCTAGGGTTAATCCCTGCTTCTCTGGGTGTTGGGTTTTAATTGTGCTTCCTTTTGGACTCTGCTTTAAATGCCAAGTTTCACAGATTGCGTCTCAAGCCATGGTCTGTGGGCTTCTTGTGCTCTCTGAGCTTGGTGGTTTTCTTGCAGACGTTTCCTGAACCGACTAAATAACATCATCAGTTGTCAAGGTATTGGTTTAAGAGCTAACCAGCTTATATAACGTAGGATGTAAGATGTAAAGAAATGAATGGAAATAGCTCAGCAGGATCTGCGTCTCTTGAAGAGCCTTCGTATAAAGGGAAGGCTCTGCTGATGTGTTCTCTCTCTTCCGTTTCCTGCTGTAATTGTGGTTTGTTGGATCCTGCTGTATTGTATATTGTTCCTGATATATAGTATTATATGTATATTGTTCCTGATGTATGGTATTATAGTGTAAGATAAAGCACCATTTAATACAAACCACCGTTTACTGTATTTACTCCTGGGTTATCTCAGCGCAATAAGACTGTGCAGGCTCTGACATCAGTGCTAGATGAGAGGGGTTTGAGGAGCAGGAGGTCTGTGGGGTCCTTGGCGCTCTCTGAGCTCGGTGGTTTTCTTGCAGACGTTTCATGAACCAACTAAATAACATCATCAGTGCCAAAAGGGAGTGGGATTTGGAGAGAGGAGTAGGAGTAGGACTGTGGGTCCCAGGTGCTCTCTGAACTTGGTGGTTTTGATTACCAATCTAGGAAATATCATCAGTGCTAGAAGGGAGTGGGTTTTGTGAAGAAGAAGGAGGAGGAGGAGGAGGAGAAGAGGAAGAAGAAGGAGGAGGAGGAGGGAGGAAGAAGAAGAAGGAAGGAAGGAGGAGGAGGAGAAAGAGAAGAAGAAGAAGAGGAAGAAGGAGGAGGAGGAGGAGGAGGAGGAGGAAGGAAAGAGGAGGAGGAGGAGAAGAAGAGGAAGAGAAAGAGGAAGAAGGAGGAGGAGGAGGGGAGAGGAAGGAGGAGGAGGGAGGAAGAAGAAGAAAGGAAGGAGGAGGAGAAGAAAAGAAGAAGAAAGGAGGAGGAGGAGAGGAGAGGAAGAAGAAGGAAGGAAGGAGGAGGAGAAAGAGAAGAAGAGGAAGAGGAGGAAGGAGAAGGAGGAGAGGAGAGGAAGAAGAAGAAGGAAGGAGGAGGAGAAAGAGAAGAAGAGGAAGAGGAGGAAGGAGAAGGAGGAGGCGGAAGAAGGAAGGAAGGAGGAGGAGGAGAAGAGGAAGAGGAAGAAGAAGAGGAAGAAGAAGATGACGACGACAATGGCTGTGGGATCCTTGGTGTTCTCTGAGCTTGGTTGTTTTCATGGAGACATTTTCTTGTCCAACTAAGTAACATCATGAGTGCTAGATGGGCGTGTGGGATTTGCTCTCTATATACAGTGGCTTGACACTAACAACTCAGACAAACAAACTAACAACAAACAACAGCTATTCAAGGTACCACCAAGACCATTCCCATTAGTGCAGATAGGGCAAGCCATTAGTATACAAATAGAGAGTTATCCCCACCCTCTTCTAGTACTGATGACATTATCTAGTTGGGTCATGAAACATCTCCAAGAAAACAACCAAGCTCAGAGACCACCAAGAAACCCATGTATAGCTGAGAGTTGAAGTCCACGCATCTTAAGGTGGCCATCTTCAGCTTCCCTTGAACAGCCAACTCACCCAGTTCTTCATCCGTCATGGGGAGATAGTGGTCCACCATCTCTTCAGATTTTCCAAGGGCGGCTTCCAAATTGCTGGACACCATCTGGCCCACGGAAGACTCCATGACGGTGTTGACACTACTGGACACCGCTGAGCGGGTCATCTCCATACCACTTTGGACAGCCGAGCGGGTCATGTCCACACCGCCCTGGACGGCCGAGCGGGTCATCTCCACCCCACCCTGGACCACTTCCTTGGTTCTGTCCACCATGCCGCTGACGGTGGAGCTCACCGCCTCCTTAGCTCCAGTGACCAGGTCTTTTGTGCCCGAAATGATCTGAAACAAGAACAGAAGAACAGAGTTGAAAGGGACCTTGGAGGTCTTCTAGTCTAGCTCCCCCCCCCGTTTAAGCAGGAAACCCAACCTCGGCTCTTTTATGACTCATGGACTTCAACTCCCAGAATTCCTGAGTCAGCTATGCTCCCAGAATTCCTCAGACAGCCATTTTGATGAAACTGCAGGCTTGGATCCAGATCTGAGGCATTCTGGGCCTTGAAGTCCACAAGTCACAAAAGGGCCAAGTTTGAAGACCCCTGATATAGACTTTAAGTTGAGTGGACTTCAACTCCCAGAATTCCCCAGCCAGCGTGCCTGGCTGAGTAATTTTGGGAGTTGAAGTCCACAAGTCATAAAAGGGCCAAGTTTGAAAACCCCTGATACAGACTTTAAGAGGAGTGGACTTCAACTCCCAAATTCCCCAGCCAGGCAGAAAAGAAGGAGGGAAGGAAGGAAGGAGGGAAGGAAGGAAGGAAGGAAGGAGAAATTAGAAGGTAGGGAGGAGGAAGGGGAGAGGAAGATGAGAAGGAAGGAAGGAAGGAAGGAAGGAAGGAAGGAATATGAAAATGGGGAGGGAGGAGGAAGAGGGAAGGAAGGAAAATGAAAATGAGAAGGAAGGAAGCAAGAAGGAAGATGAAAATGAGAAAGGAGGAAGGAAGGAAGGAAGGAAGGAAGGAAGGAAGGAAGGAAGGAAGGAAGGAAGGAAGATGAAAATGGGGAGGGAGGAAGGAAGGAAGATGAAAATGAGAAGGAATAAAGGAAGAGGGAAAATGAAAATGAGAAAGGAGGAAGAAAGGAAGGAAGGGAGAAGGAAGGAAGATGAAAATGAGAAGGAAGGAGGGAAGGAAGGAAGATGAAAATGAGGAAGGAAGGAAGAGGGAAGATGAAAATGAGAAAGGAGGAAGAAAGGAAGGAAGGAAGGAAGGAGAAAATGGGGAGGGAGGAGGAAGGGGAAAGGAAGGAAGATGAAAATGAGAAGGAAGGAAAGAAGAGGGAAGATGAAAATGAGAAAGGAGAAGAAAGGAAGGAAGGAAGATGAAAATGGGGAGGAAGGAAGGAAGGAAGGAAGGAAGGAAGGAAGGAAGGAAGGAAGGAAGGAAGGAAGGAGGGAAGGAAGGTTTTGATTACCTTATCAGTCGGCTGTTGAAGAATTGGCAATTTCTCTTCCAGCTTGTCCAAACCTTTCAAGGCGTATTCATTCGCTGTGGAAACTGGAGAAGAAAAAGTTATCCGGAGGTCAAAAAAGTCACGCATTCAAGCACCTCTCCTTTCTACATGGGTCAGGAAATGCAGAGGACGGATCACAAAACCACGGCGTAAATGGGAGGGGGAGATAGATTCACTTAGCAACCACACGATTCAGTTAATGACTGCAGTGGTTCACCAAACTGGCCCAAAAAGGTCGCAAAATGGGGCAAAACCCACTTAGCAACTGTTTAACTGGTTGTTAAGCAGATCTGCCTTCCCCCAGTGGCTGTCCTTGTCGGAAGCCTGCTGGGATAGGTTACAACGGGTGATCACGACATCCTGGGATGCCGCAACCATCATAAATACGAGCCAGTTGCCAAGCACCCAAATTTTGATCACATGACTATGGGGGACCGCTACACCGGTCGTAAGTGTGAAAAACGGTCATTAAGTCACTTTTTTTTCCAGTGTCGTTAACTTGTGCCTATTGTAATTTCAGCACCTTTAAGTTCTGCCGCTAAATCTAAATAATAATAGTAGTAGTAGTAGTAGTAGTAGTAGTAGTAGTAGTAAAGTTGGAAGGGACCTTGGAGGTCATCTAGTCCAACCCCCTGCTCAGGCAGGAAACCCTATACCGTTTCGGACAAATGGCTGTCCAGTCTCTTCTTAAAAACTTCCAGTGTTGGAGCATTCACTGCTTCTGGAGGCAGGTTGTTCCACTGGTTAATTGTTCTAACTGTCAGGAAGTTTCTCCTAAGTTCTAGGTGCTTCTCTCCTTGCTTAGTTTCCACCCGTTGCTTCTTGTCCTGCCTTCAAGCGCTTTGGAGAATAGCTTGACTCCCTCTTCTTTGTGGCAGCCCCTGAGATACTAAAAGACTGCTATCATGTTCCTCCTCATCCTTCTCTTCGTTAAACTAGACATACCCAATTCTAGCAACCATTCCTTATATGTCCAATCCCTTAACCATCTTTGTTGCTCTTCTCTGCACTCTTTCCAGAGTCTCAACATCTTTTTTACATCGTGGTGACCAAAACTGGATGCAGGATTCCAAGTGTGGCCTTACCAAGGCCTTGTAAAGTGGTATTAATATTTCACGTGATTTTGATTCTCTCCCTCTGTTGATGCAGCCTAACACTGTGTTGGCTTTGTTGGCAGCTGCAGCACACGGATTTTGTTATTGAGCTATTGATTAACCCAGTCACCACGTTGCTTTTTAAATATTCAAATGTAAAATTGGAAAATTAATAAAATATTATATATATGTATAAAAAAAAGAACTGAAAAAGCTTCTTGGATGAGGAGCGAAACGTCTTCAAGGGAAAAACGAAGTCTACTCGCCTTTTGCAAAAAGCACAAGAAAGCAGAAAAGGACCACTGTTTCGTTTAGCAGCGTTTCGGTTATTTACTCACTCTGTGGCTCCAGTTTGTTCAGGATGGGCTGGGCGCCGGTGACCGCCACCGAGGCAATAGTCTTCACTCCCTTCTCCGCCATGTCACAAACCGACTTCATGTAGGGATGGCTCTCTTTCGTAGAGGTGTACGCTGCCGAGACCATGTCGTAGGCGGAGCTGACCAGTGGCAGGCTGGCTACCCGATCCGCTACGTTCTGGCAAAGGGAAGAAACAGACGAGAGCGGCAACCGTGAGGACTAGCAACTTGGTGCCTCCTTCCCCCTGCTTCTCCATTTTTTTAATGAGCCGTGGTAGCACGGTGGTTAGAATGCAGTATTGCAGGCAAACTCTGCCCACTGTCAGGAGTTCGATCCTGGACCGACTCAAGGTTGACTCAGCCTTCCATCCTTCCGAGGTCGGTAAAATGAGGAGCCAGATTGTTGGGGGCAAATAGGCTTGGCTCTGTAAACCGGTTAGAGAGGGCTGTAAAGCACTGTGAAGTGGTGTGTAAACATTATTGCTATTGTTCTGTTCCATTCCATTCTATTCTATTTTTACATTCTCTATTCTATTCTATTCTATTCTATTCTATTCTATTCTATTCCATTCTCTATTCTATTCTACTCCATTCCATTCTATTTTCTATTCTATTTTCTATTCTAAATTCCATTCTATATTCTATTCTATTCTATTCTATTCTCTATTCTATTCCATATTCTATTCCATTTTCTATTCTAAATTCTATTCTATTCTATCCTATTCTACTCCATTCCATTCCATTCCATTTTCTATTCTAAATTCTATTCTATTATTCTATTCTATTCCACTCCATATTTTATTCCAAATTATATTCTATTCCATTCCACTCCATGTTCTATTCTAAATTAAATTCTATTCTATCCTATCCTACTCCATTTCATTCCATTCCATTTTCTATTCTAAATTCTATTCTATTATTCTATTCTATTCCACTCCATATTTTATTCCAAATTATATTCTATTCCATTCCACTCCATGTTCTATTCTAAATTAAATTCTATTCTATCCTATCCTACTCCATTCCATTCCATTCCATTTTCTATTCTAAATTCTATTCTATTATTCTATTCTATTCCACTCCATATTTTATTCCAAATTATATTCTATTCCATTCCACTCCATGTTCTATTCTAAATTAAATTCTATTCTATCCTATCCTACTCCATTTCATTCCATTCCATATTCTATTCTAAATTCTATTCTATTCCATTCCATTCCATTTTCTATTCCAAATTCTATTCTATTATTCTATTCTCTATTCTATTTTCTATTCTATTTGCATTCTTTTAGAGAGCTGTTGAGGCCACCTGGATGTCCGTCTGTGTCCTCAAGATCCCCTGAGTGGGGCCAATGGGTGTGGAGCCTTCTTGAAAGTGGTGAAAGGACCATGTTGTAGACTGGAGATGGATGATATTGTATCCCTACCCCTCTGTTGAGACAGGGCTACACCACTCAGCTGACCCTTAGGACACAGATAAACCTCCGAGTGGTCTCAACGACCCTCCAAAAGAATGCAAATGACCAGCTGTCAGCAAGGAGTATAAATCCTTCCCTTCCCCACCATCCAGTCAGAGTCAAAGGAAAAACAAGAAAGTCCAGTTGCCTCCTGAAAAAACATCTTTGAGATAAATTACGTTTTGTGTGTGTGTGTGTGTTTGTGCTATCCCCTGCAAGAGAGTCCCTGCAATGAGAGATTAGAGCTGGCACAAGTGGAGCGTGTGTGTCCCCTGGAATCTTGCCTCCTATTAAACTCAGAAATGACACACTGGGCATCTCCTACTTGGCAGAGCACCCAAGCGAACGGCTCGTCTTCCAGAGAATTCATTTTGCTCGGGTTGTGCAACTGTCTTTGCCAAAGTGATAATGCAACAGCCGTCGCTCGCTCCCAAAATAGATCCGGAGTTTGTCACCTCAGCTCAGGAGAAAACTCTACACAAACCTGGCCCGGCTTCCAACTCGCTTGGCACACAAAAGGAGACCTCAGCAGACGTGATCAGCAGCTGACTGCTGGGGCATTGTGGCTAGTCCTTAATTTACAACCGTTCATTTAGTGACCGGCATCGAAAAAAGTGACTGAGGACTGTTTTTCACCACTTAGGACCGTTGCAGCCTCCCCGTGGGTCACGTGATCAAAATTCAGCCACTTTATGACGGTCGCAGCATCCTGGAATCACACCTTCTGACAAGCTAAGTCAATGGGGGGAAGCCGGATTCACTTAACAACCAGGCTACTCACTTAACAACTGCAGGGATTCTCTTAACAGCGGTGGCAAGCCAAGTCATAAAATGGGGCCAATCTGACTTCAGTGTCTTGCTTAACAACCAATCTGGAGCTTAATTGTGTTTATAAGTCGAGGACTAGCTGTAGTTGAAAGATACATCCCACCAAACCAAGTTAACATTCATAAATGTGACTTTTCGACGGAGAACCGCTTCATATCGTGTATCAATTCCACTCAAATCCTTTTTGGGATCAACTCCACTTGGTGGACCGATTTGGGATCAAGTTGAAGAGGCAATGTCTCACCAAACACCCTTCCCCTGAATCTAGAAGTCCCCTCTTAAATGAAGGCATTCCCAGAGAAGGCCTACAATCGCTATAAACCTAGAACTACGAAGAAATTTCCTGAGAGTGAGAACAATTAACCCGTGGAACAACCCGCCTCCAGAAATTGCGAATTCTCCAACATTGGAAGGTTTAAAGACGAGAGTGGACAACCCTTTGTCTGAAATGGTGCAAGGTTTTTCCTGCCTGAGCAAGGGGTTGGACTAGAAAACCTCCAAGGTCCCTTCCCAACTCTCTTATTCTATTCTATTTATTCCCAATGTCTCCAAACCTCAGTTATTTTCTGTTCGGTTTCTTCCACTGCCGGGCTGGCGGTAGACGGGGCGACATCCGCATTCTTGGTGGAAGCCATGGTGAGTTGAGGTGCAGCTATCAAGAAAGAAAGAAAGAAAGAAAATTCGGATTACGCTCCAGCTTTATCTTGATGAGCCTCGAGTAAATTCCAGAGAGATAAAATAAGACAGGTGATCCTTGCGGAAGGTCGCCCCGAGAACAAGGATCAAAACCTTTGAAATTATCCACGCAACTCATTCTCAAGTCCCAAGGTGAGGAAGATAGGAGTACAAGTGACACTCCTTATTTACTCTGGACTTTAGCACCCTACTTTAGACCCAAAGCTTCAGCAATCGGCAACACAGCAAGACTGCTTTGAGACGATCCCCCACCACTAGGCAGGGTCTATCTTTGTTATCCCTTAGATGTGAGACCACCGTCGTAAACTGAGAAACTTCAAAATATCCAGGAAGGGGCAAAGATGAAGGGAGCAGCGTCCCCTTCGGTGTTTTATTGTCTTTGTGCTGGGGAGACATCAGGAAGGGGGTGGAAAGACAGGTAGTCCTTGACATATAACGGTTCATAATCAGTGGAATTACCGGCCTCCAGACGTTGTGACTGCTCTGACACTGGAAGTTTTAAAGAAGAGATTGGAGAACCAAATAATAATAATGATTATGACAACAATAATGATAACAATGATAATAATGATAATGGTAATAATAATAATAGTTGGAAGGGACCTTGGAGGTCATTAAGTCCAACCCCCTGCTCAGGCAGGAAACCCTCTACCATTTCAGACATGTAGCTGTCCAGTCTCTTCTTAAAAACTTCCAGTGTTGGAGCATTCACCGCTTCTGGTGGCAGGTTGTTCCTCTGGTTAATCGTTCTGTCAGGAATGTCTGAAATGGGGTGTTACCTAGTTGGGTCATGAAACGTCTGCCAGAAAACCACCCAGCTCAGGGAGCACCAAGGACCCCACAGTCTTTGTCCTCCTTCTTCTCTTCTTTCTCCTCCTCTTCTTCCTCCTCTTGCCCCACTCCACAAACCCCATCGCCTTCTGGCACTGATGACATTCCCTAGTTGGGTCATGAAATGTCTGCAAGGAAACCATCAAGCTCAGGGAGCACCAAGGACCCCACAGTCTTTCTCCTTCTCCTTTTTCCTCTTCTTCCTCTCTTCCTCCTCCTCTTGCCCCACTCCACAAACCCCATCCCCTTCTGGCACTGATGACGTTCCCTAGTTGGGTCACGAAACGTCCACAAGAGAACCACCCAGCTCAGGGAGCACCTGGGACTCCAAAGTCTTTTTCTTCTTTCTTTTTCTCCTCCTCCTCATCTTCTTCCTCTTCCTCCTCCTCCTCCTCTTCCCCCACTCCACAAACCCCATCCCCTTCTGGCACTGATGACGTTCCCTAGTTGGGTCACGAAACGTCCACAAGAGAACCATCCAGCTCAGGGCACACCCAGGGCCCCAACGTTCCAAATCCTTTTGACTTTTCACAGAGCACCCCAAAATCCAGCTTGGCTCATTTGCTTCTGGCCAAACCCTGCAGAAACTTCACAGACCTGCCCCACTCTGGTGGGACGGAAGAGACGGTCTGTATCTCTGCCCCCCCCCACCCCCAAAGACGCACACAATCTTTGGCCCCAAAGATCCAATCCTTCTTCACCCGCCGGCTGTTCCCAGCCATTCTCCGTTGCATCACCCCCCTCTCTGGGCCAAAGGAAGGCGCCCTTGTCACCCAGAAAGCAATTTTGCAAGAAATCCTCAAGAATGAGATGAGTCAACGGGAGACCACTTCCCCCCCACCCCACCCCGTCCCACCACCCTTCGCCATTTGTTCCAGATTGCAACATTTCACCCTGGCTTGGTTCATGCTGAACTTGAGCCAGACTTCCGGGTGAATGTCTGCAGGAGCACAAGAGTATAGCTAGCCTTGTGTGTGTTTGTGTGCTTGTTTGGGTGGGTGGATGTATTCCAAGGCAATGGGTAAGGGACAAGTTTTCATTTTTTGGTGCTCCTTCTGCAAAGCTTTACGCTCGGGGGTTGTCCTCAACTTACAACAGCTTGTTTAGTGACTGTTTGAAGTTACAACGGGACTGAAAAAAATGACTTCATAATAGTAATAATAATAATGAAGCTGGAAGGGACCTTGGAGGTCATCGAGTCCAACCCCCTGCTCAGGCTAGAAACCCTATACCATTTCGGACAAATGGCTGTCCAGTCTCTTCTTAAAAGCTTCCAGTGTTGGAGCCTTCACCGCTTCTGGAGGCAGGTTGTTCCACTGGTTAATTGTTCTCACTGTCAGGAAGTTTCTCCTTAGTTCCAGGTTGCTTCTCTCCTTGTTTAATTTCCATCCGTTGCTTCTTGCACTTTGGAGAATAGCTTGACTCCCTCTTCTTTGGGGCAGCCCCTGAGATAGTGGAAGACTGCTATCGTCTCACCCCTGGTCCTTCTCTTCATTAAACTAAAAGAGGGGTAGGCAACCTTGGCTCTTTTATGAGTCGTGGACTTCAACTCCCAGCATTCCTGAGCCAGCTGCACTGAGGGGAAAAGGAGAGGTTTCCAAGCTGAGCCATGCCGGCTTAGGAATTCTGGGAGTTGAAGTCCACGAGTCATAAAAGAGCCAAGGTTGCCTACTCCTGGTCTAGCCCAAGCTACATGCAGTCAAAGCCAAAAAGCACTAAACTAAGTGTGCTTGTAAACAGCGTGATTGAACTGGGTAAGAATATTGATTCGCTCTCTTCTACCTGATTCCCTGAAAAAAGAAAAAGAAAAAAAAAAACCAGAAATAAAAACCCTCTGAAAATGAAAGGGTGTGTGTGTGTTTGCTCCACCCTCCTCTAAATGGAAGCGGCAAATTAAATTTATGGGGAATAAACATACAGAGATAAAGATGACCGAAAGTGACTGGCCCAGCTCAACATTGGAACTAAATGCTGAGTCCAGAGCATTTTTGGACGCTCATCCCTCACTTTTGAAAAGATTTTTTTTTTTTACTTTATCTCATCGTCTTGCCTGAAAAACCCCCGAGGACGAGATCCTTATGGAGTAATCTGGAGCAAAGTGACACTAAGCTAAACAAAATTGCCCAACATTGTTTTGCAAGCCAATCCTCTCTAAGAGAAGTTGAAATAATCTCTAAGTTACACCATGGCCACATACTTCTGAATTTTTATTTTTAGTTTTTTTTTAAAAAAACCCACCCATTTCTTGATTTCACTTTTCTTTCCAATTCGCAGCACGATTGCCGTGGCCTTAACAGACAAGACGGCTTGCAAAGGATTTTTAAAAACAAACAGACCCCGTTTTACGGCTTTCCTTGTCACACAGTTGCGAAGTAAATCACTGCAGTTGTTAAATTAGTAACACGGTTGTTAAGTGAATCTGGCTCCCCCCCCCCCCCCCGTTGAGTCAGCTTGTCTGAAGGTCGCGAAAGGGGATCACAGGATCCTGGGACTGTCATAAATATGAGTCAGCTGTCAAGAATCTGAGTGTAAATCACGTGACCCTGGGGATGCTGCAACGGTCATAAGTGTGAAAAATGGTCGTAAGTAATTTTTTCAGTCCCATTGGAACTTTGAACGGTCACTAAACAAACTGTTCTAAGTCAAGGACTACCTGTACAGGTAGAGTAAATAGAAATGGGCGTTAAAACTGGAAGAGTGGGCAGGCTTATGGGGGCTAGCAATGTGATGTCACTCAGAAACTCCCAAATGCTGTCAGAAATTTGGTAGCATCGTTTCCGATTCACGGATTTATTAAAAAGCACAAGCTGCAGTTTATAAAAACTTTATAGCCATATCAAATGCATTGGCGGGAAACGGCGCTAATAGCCTAACGTGGTTTCCCTTGTACAATCATTCAAGAATGAGCAGAAAATTTTAAGTATGTTCCTTGTTGGCACTGCAACTATGGCCTGTGGTAAAACTTGGCACATGTAAGAAAGATGGACTTCAACTCCCAGAATTCTCCAGCCAGCATGCACAGTGGCTAGGGCAGGGGTTGGCTCTTTTATGACTCGTGGACTTCAACTCCCAGAATTCCTGAGCCAGCCACGCTGAGGGGAAAAGGAGAGGGTTCCAAGCTGAGCCAGGCTGGCTCAGGAATTCTGGGAGTTGAAGTCCACAAGTCATAAAGCGGCCTAGGCCTAAGGTAGACAACCTTGGCTCTTTTATGACTCGTGGACTTCAACTCCCAGAATTCCCGAGCCAGCCACGCTGAGGGGAAAGGGAGATGTTTCCATGCTGAGCGATGCTGGCTCAGGAATTCTGGGAGTTGAAGTCCACGAGTCATAAAAGAGCCTAAGGTTGCCTACCCCTGATCTAGGTCTGTCTGTCTGTCTGTCTGTCTGTCTGTCTGTCTGTCTGTCTATCTATCTATCTATCTATCTATCTATCTATCTATCTATCTATCTATCATCTAGGTGAGGGATAGGCAATCTTGGCTCTTTTATGACTCGTGGACTTCAACTCCCAGAATTCCTGAGCCAGCCAAGCTGAGGGGAAAGGGAGAAGTTTCCAAGCTTAGCCATGCTGGCTCAGGAATTCTGGGAGTTGAAGTCCACCAGTCATAAAAGAGCCAAGGTTACCTACCCCTGGGCTGGGGGATTCTGGGAATTGAGGTCCCACACTTTAGATGTTTTAGATGACATTGTTTAGCCCAGAATTTACAATCCATATCATACCCTTGTAATATCTTAGTTTCATAGTTAAGGAGATTAAGTTAAGATTTTAGCGGGATATGATACATATTGTAAATTCTGGGCCAAAATTGGCATGTAATTCATGTAAATTGCAGGACTTCAAGTCCCAGAGTCCCCCAGCCGGGTTAAAGAAAGGCAAACTGTGGCTTGGTGGACTCTGAGTTGTTAGCCATCATAGCTAAGGAAACTAAGCCAACATTTTACAGTGTATTGTGTGTATTGTAAATATTGGGTCAAAACTGGCATATTAATCAACTCGATTACAGGACTTCAACTCCCAGGTGGATTCTGACTTGTTAGCCATCATAGCTAAGGAGATGAAGCCAACAAGTCCACCAAGCTACAGATTGCTTTTCTTCTAGCATTCTGGCTGGGGAATTCTGGGAGTTGAAGTCCACCCTTCTTATATATGCCAAGGTGGAAAAAAACAGAGTGCCAAATTCTCATGGCTCTTCCTTTCCCATCTGAGCTTTAGATTATTTTTACATGTGAATGAGTTTCGCCCGAGATTGCTAAACAACATCCAGCAACATCAGCAACACAATTTAAGGATGTCAAACCGGACATGTGGCACAAGTCAGCAAGTTTCGCTGGGAGCACCTGATCCTATTAGAATTAATGCATAATTCCCCCCCCCCCCCATGTTTGCAACAGAGACAGCTTAATAAGAGCCTTGCATAAACTGTTGCTGGTCTATTGGAATTGGGGATATCTAATTTAATGAAGAGAAGGACTAGGGGGGACATGATAGCAGTCTTCCAATATTTGAGGGGGTCCCACAAAGAAGAGGGGGAGTCAAGCTATTCTCCAAAGTGCCTAAAGGCAGGACAAGAAGCAACAGATGGAAACTAATCAAAGGAGAGAAGCAACCTGGAACTAAGAAGAAATTTCCCAACAGTTAGAACAAATAACCAGTGGAACAGCTTGCCACCAGAAGTTGTGGGTGTTTCATCCCTGGAGGTTTTTAAGAAGAGGCTGGGCAACCATTTGTCTGAAATGGTATAGGGCAGGGGTAGGTAACCTTAGCTCTTTTATGACTGGTGGACTTCAACTCCCAGAATTCCTGAGCCAGCATGGCTCAGCTTGGAAACCTCTCCCTTTCCCCTCAGCGTGGCTGGCTCAGGAATTCTGGGAGTTGAAGTCCACAAGTCATAAAACAGTCCAGTTTGAAGACCCCTGCCCTAAAGGTACAAACCAGTAGTTCCACCAGATGTAGAGTTGGTCTATAACAAGGATGGGGAACCTTGGCTCTTTTATGACTCGTGGACTTCAACTGCCAGAATTCCTGAGCCAGCATGGGGGAACTATGGCCCCCTCATGACTCGTGGACTTCAACTCCCAGAATTCCTCAGCCAGCATGGCTCAGCTTGGAAACCTCTCCCTTTCCCCTCAGTGTGGCTGGCTCAGGAATTCTGGGAGTTGAAGTCCACAAGTCATAAAAGAGCCAAGGTTGCCTATCCCTTGTATAGGGTTTCCTGCCTGAGCAGGGGGTTGGACTAGAAGACCTTCAAGGTCCCTTCCAACTCCCTTATTCAGTTATTCTATTCAAGTAAGAAAATAAACTGCGGCCTTTTTGTAAAAAAAACCAACTGTACCATTTTGAATAGATTTTACCTTTCAATTCCAAAGCACAAAATTCAACTGCCTTCCCTTTCCAGAAAAATAAATGCAGGGCTAATTAATGCAGTTTGGCTTCAGGTTATGGGCTGCATTCAAAAGAGGAGACGGGGCCCAGGAGAGAAACTAAATGTGATTTATTGAAAAGGCTGTAACTTTAAGGCAACATCTCCAGACTGACAAGGTACCCCGTGCCTTAAATTTCAGGAGTCCAGACTCGTGGGAAAAATTAAGTTTTTGGAAAAGGAATTAAGTTGTTATTTTTTGGGGGCGGCCTTATAATCCTCATTTAATGTTTTATATAGGTAGTCCTTGACTTACAACTGCCACTGAGCCCCAAAATTTCTGTTGCTAAACGGGACAATTATTAAGCGAGTTTTGCCTCATTTTACAACTTTTCTTGCCCGAGTTGTAAAATGAATTACTGCAGCTGTTCAATTAGTAACACATCTGTTAAGTGAATCTGGCTTTCCCCCATTGACTTCGCTAGTCAGGTCGCAAAAGGGGCCACTGCGACCGTCGTAAATACGAGTCGGTTGCCAAATTCTGAGTTTTCATCACGTGATCACGGGGATGCCGCAACGATTATTTGAAAAAAAAAAACCAAGTTATATAATCTTCTTTTAGTGCCACTGAAGCTTTGAATGGTCACTAAATGAATTGTTGTAAGTTAGAACAATTAACCAGTGGAACAAGCTGCCTCCAGAAGCTGTGAATGCTCCAACACTGGAAGTTTTTAAGAAGAGATTGGACAGCCATTTGTCCGAAATGGTATAGGGTTTCCTGCCTGAGCAGGGGGTTGAACTAGATGACCTCCAAGGCCCCTTCCAACTTTATTATTATTATTATTATTATTATTATTATTGACTGCCTGTACTATGGTTGTTTGATTGCAAGATGGGGACATCAGAATTTAACAAATATAAAAGGCAGGCAAACTTTTCAACTTAAAAACAGAAGCCACCTTTCTTAAAAAAAATAAAAAATAAAGACAAAATTAAACCAATTATGGATCCTGCTGGGTTCTGAATTGACCTCCTAAACTGGTTTGGCACCCAATGAATGTTGCTAATTTCTGGGAAAAGAGCTGCTGAATTTGTATATATTTTAATCTTCTATTATTTTATATTCTAAATTGAGGTCATATATAGTATACCTGATTTTAATTGCGATGCTTCCCACACGAATAAAGATGAAGCAACCAGTTTGGCAAGCTGGACAATTTTAAGATGTACAGATTTCAGGATCCGGTGCTACACCAATCCAAGCAGCATGAACCAGCTACTCTCAGATAGACTGCTCTTCCAATGGAGGCTTCATTCAAACCAGGGCGCAGTGAAAGCAGTCAGCTGTTAAACGCCTCCTCCAATCACAGCGCTGGGTGGTCGCTAGGAGCCGACAGCTACTCAAGGACACGTATCAGTCCGTTCATGCAGCTGCTGCAAGGCGGAGCCAACTTAAAAGCACCAAATTTATTTATTAAAAGTGTGTGTTTTTTTTTAAAAGACCCTCTATATGAACAAGTCTTTGCAGGCACCGGCCGGGGAGTGGTTGGGGCGGTTTAAAAAACCCTGCAGTTTTAGAACTAGGATGAGGATTAATTGATTTAACCCACGAACAGACCATGAATGGACCCGCACACTGCAATCAGCCGCGTGCGGGGGGGGGGGGGGAGAGAGAGAGAGAGAGAGTGTGTGTTGGGAGGGCAGAGAGAAAGTGGGGAGAGAGAAAGTTGTGGCGAAGAGAGGAAAGTTGTGAAAGAGAGAGAGAGAGAGAGAGAGAGAGTGTTGGGAGGGCAGAGAGAAAGTGGGGAGAGAGAAAGTTGTGGCGAAGAGAGGAAAGTTGTGAAGAAGAGAGAGAATTGAGGGGCAGAGAGAAAGTGGGCAGAAGAGAGAAAGTTGGGGAAAAGAGAAAGTTGGGGAGGAGAGAGAGAGAGAGTTGGGGGGCAGAGAGTGGGGAGAAGAGAGAAAGTTGGGAGAAGAGAAAGTTGTGAAGAAGAGAGAGTTGGGGAGGAGAGAGAGAGAATTGGGGGGCAGAGAGAAAGTGGGGAGAAGAGAGAAAGTTGTAAAGAAGAGAGAGTTGGTGAGAGAGAGTTGGGGGCAGAGAAAAATTTGGGGGGAGAGAAAGTTGGGGAGAAAGGGAGAAAGTAAGAGGAAGAATGGAGAGGAGGAGAGAGCTAGGGAGAAAGAGAAAAAGATAAAAAAGGAAGAAGGAGAAAGGGAAAAAGACAGGGAGAAAGGAGGAGGGAGAATGGGAAAGAGAAGGAAAAAACGAAGAGAGGAAGAAAGAGGAAGGAAGAAAGAATAAAAGAGAGAGCAAGAGTGAGAAACAGAGAAAGAAAACGAGAAAAAAAAGAAAGACGCCGCTCTTTAACTTACCCGACCGAAGTAACAAATTCGCTTTCCCCAATGGCGCAGCCACGCCCCCGCTTCCCCGCTGGGCTCCTTTTATACTCCGGAGTGACTGCCCTTTGTTGCTGGAGGCAATCAGGAGCAAGCAAGCATCACGTGCCTTCGGAATGTGGGCCGGCTCAGGAATTGGGAAAGGAGTCCAACCTGTTTTCCCGAAGCCTCTGTTTTTTTTTGTTTTTTGTTTTGTTTTAAATATCCTATGACGTCTGGGTTTCTGAAAGAGGCGGATCGACTCCGCTTCCTCGTGTAAACGGCGCCGGAAAGGGGCAAATTCGAAGCGGAGGGCAGGAAAGTTTGAAAGTTGGGTTTGGGGCAGACTTTCACTTCCCCAAGTAGGAAGAAAACTGGCCTCCGGGGGGATGGGATAAGTGTGGGGGTGTAAAAAGATCAGGTCCTTGATAATCCGGAATGAATTGGGATTGAAAGATCCCCGGGTCGCAGCACTTCCACTTTCTCTTTTTTTTTCCTCATGAAAATGTCAGTTTATTCAAAGAAGATTAAAATACAAAACATCAAAAAAATTTAAAAGAAGCAAAACAAAAAAACAACACTCTCTTATGAAAAGGAAAATAAACTCTTGAAGGACGATTCCTTAAGACCGGGTCTTCAAACTTGGCTCTTTTATGACTCGTGGACTTCAACTCCCAGAATTCCTCAGCCAGCATGGGGGAAACTATGGCCCCTTCATGACTTGTGGACCAACTCCCAAAATTCCTCAGCCAGGCACGCTGGCTGAGGAATTCTGGGAGCTGAAGTCCACAAGTCATAAAAGGGCCACAGTTGAAGACCCCTGCCTTAAGAGAAGCTGGAGGTGATTTTTAAATGAAATAAGAGTTTTATCTCTCGGGTGGGCTTCGTAAGGTTCAGGAAAAAAATAAAATAAAAGACACGGGATACAAATGTTAGGCAGGTTTTCCAGGAAGTAGCCAGGTTTTAACGGCACCACCTTTTTACACAGTTCCTTTTATGATTTGTTTGCAAGACGTCGGAATGGATCAATCACTACAGAATCAGTTTCCAGAAAATACTACTACTACTACTACTACTACTACTACTACTACTACTACTACTACTACTACTACTACTACTACTAGTAGTAGTAGTAGTAGTAGTAGTAGTAGTAGTAGTAATGTTGTTCGTCCATCAATTTCGATGAAGACCTTGACATCTTGTGGGTTGATGGACGAACAACATTACTACTACTACTACTACTACTACTACTACTACTACTACTACTACTACTACTACTACTACTACTACTACTACTACTACTACTAGTAGTAGTAGTAGTAGTAGTAGTAGTAGTAGTAGTAATGTTGTTCGTCCATCAATTTCGATGAAGACCTTGACATCTTGTGGGTTATGGGCCATCATATTGTTATTAATTATATTATTAATATTATTAATTGATATATTATTAATATATTAATTTATTAATAATTAATATATTAATAATAATAATAATAATAATAATAATAATAATAATAATAATAATAATAATAATAATAATAATAAAAATAAAAATAATAATAAAAATAATAATAATAATAAATCGATTTCCTACAAAGGAATTCAGGTATGAGGTTACTCTGTTGCAATGTTTTTTTGCAGCATTGTTGCGTTTTGTAGCTTGTTTTCTTGGTAACAGAAGCAAAGTTGTTTGCCTGTACGCAGGGGTAGGCAATCCTGGCCCTTCATGACTCGTGGACTTCCGCTCCCAGAATTCCTGAGCCAGCCACGCTGAGGGGAAAGGGAAAGGTTTCCAAGCTGAGCCATGCTGGCTCAGGAATTCTGGGAGTTGAAGTCCATGAGTCATAAAAGAGCCATGGTTGCCTACCCCTGACCTGTAGCAAGGGCAGTGACCTATAGGTACACAAATACAGACAGTCCTCAAATTAGGACCACAACCGAGCCCAAAATTTCTGTCACTAAGACAGTTAAGTGAGTTTTGCTCCATTTTACGACCTGGCTTGCCACAACTGTTGGGTAAATCACTGCAGCTGTTAAGGTAAACACACGGTTGTTAAGTGAATCCAGCTTCCCCACTGATTCTTGCTTGTTCAGAAGGTCGCAAAAGGGGATCACGTGACCCCGGGACCATGCAACCCGTCGTAAATACAAGCCAGTTTGCCAACCGCCTGAATTTTGATCGTGTGACCATGGAGATACTGCAGTGGTCGGTCGTAAGTGTGAAAAATGGGCCTAAGTCACTTTTTTTCAGTGCCGTTGTAACTTCGAACGGTCACTAAATGAACAGTTGTAAGTCTGAGGACCACCTGCAATGGAGAATATGTGGCATACCATTATTGGGGCAGCATAACTGTGGGAATCATGTCCAGGATCTGCTGTTTTTTTTCCCCCTTCACTTTTTAATATCGTGTTTCTCTTCCCAATTCTTGAAAGTTCACTCAGCATTGGCTGGGGAATTCTGGGAGTTGAAGTCTGTAGTTGCTAGCTAGGAACTCTGGGAGTTGAAGTCTGTAGCTGCTGCTTGGAGAACACTGGGAATTGAAGTGCGCAGTTGCTAGCTAGGAATTCTGGGAGTTGAAGTCCATAGCTGCTGCCTGGTGAACTCTGGGAGATGAAGTCTAACACTCTACTAGATGCTTTTAGCCTACAGCTCTAGGATCTCTTGGTGGTCTCTCTTCCAAGCATTTACAGGGCCCAACCTTGTGTAGATCTTGAACCCAAACTAGGTTTGCCGGATTCTACTGACCCGTCGCCACCAATCATACTTGCTAGTTTTTATTCAGCACAAAAATAGGGTGGTGGCCCTGAATTTGGGGATGCCTTGTGTTCAAAATGTCTGATTAAAAGTACCAGTGAGGGGATAAAAATTACCGTTGTTAAAATGCAACCAGACCCAACATAATTCATAGCGAGAACAATCTAAAAGCAACTATTAAAGCCTTTGAAATGAGGCTTGAAAAGATGAGAAAAAAAAAAAGGCATAGAGGATGGACAGAACAATCTGGGCCCAGAATTCATGCTGGACTTACATGACCTTTGATTTTTTTTTTTTGGTCTATCTTCAGAATTGGGATGGGATACCAGCTGGTGATCCCATGGCTGTGGCACTGACTGGGAATTTTAAAAAAATTGCATTAAAAAGCAACAACACATTTTCTGAATTCATTAGGTGGCTGTGCTCACAAAGTCGCCAGGAGCTGCCTTTTTTTGAAAGAAATTTTTATCTGTTTTGTGTTACCTGGGATTAACCTGGGGGCTTCTGTGTGTGTTTTGGCTATCAGCTGATTATGGTAGGGGGTCCCTGGTGGCCTTGGGGGGGGGTGTCTCTGAACTATGTGAAACATCTTCTGGGTGTGATCATGACTCACTTGCCTAAATAGGTAAAGTTGAGCTTTCTCAGGGGTAAAAGTCACCTGAGCCTCAAGATTTGTAACTGCACAATTGCATTTATATAGTAGTAGTAGTAGTAGTAGTAGTAGTAGTAGTAACAACAACAACAACAACAACAACAATAATAATAATAATAATAAAGTTGGAAGGGACCTTGAAGGTCATCTAGTCCAACCCCCTGCTCAGGCAGGAAATTCTATACCATTTCAGACAAATGGCTGTCCAGTCTCTTCTTAAACTTCCAGTGTTGGAGCATTCACAGCTTCTGGAGGAAGGTAGTTCAACTGGTATCATATACAGGTTGTCCTCAACTTACGATTCATTTAATGACCGTTCGAAGTTACCATTGAAAAAACTAACTTAACAACTACAGTGATTCATTTAGCAACGGTGGCAAGGAAGGTCATAAATGGGGCCAAACGCACTAAGCAAACGTCTTGCTTAGCAACAGAAATTTTGGGGTCAATTGTGGCCGCAAATGGAGGACTATTGTATTGAATCCTAATTTTTACAGCTAATATTATTTTCCCAATGCACACACCTGTGCTATTACATATACCAAGGGTCTTCAAATTTGGCCCTTCAAGACTTGTGGACTTCAACACGCTGGCTGAGGAATTCTGGGAATTGAAGTCCACAAGTCATGAAGGGGCCATAGTTCCCCCATGCCGTCTCAGGAATTCTGGGAGTTGAAGTCCATAAGTCACGAAGGCGCCATAGTTCCCCCATGCCAGCTCAGGAATTCTGGGAGTTGAAGTCTACAAGTCATGAAGGCGCCATAGTTCCCTCATGCTGGCTCAGGAATTCTGGGAGTTGAAGTCCATGAGTCATAAAAGAGCCAAGGTTCCCAACCCCTGGTATAGTCTATTGAACTGAGATGGGCTGAGTACAGAATTTCTCTTTAAAGTTATTAGATAATAGATACCTAATATTTTATTATAAATACCAGTTGATTGTTCTTTTAATTCTGCTCAATTGCTGATATGCAACTCCTGCATACCATCGATCAGTAAGAGAAAGGAATATTCCCTTCCTGCAGGCCTTACCGATGTAATTATGTCAGGAGTCTTCAAACTTCGCCCTTTGATAACTTGTGGACTTCAACTCCCAGAATTCCTCAGCCAGGCACGCTAGCTGAGGAATTCTGGGAGTTAAAGTCCACAAGTCATTAAAGGGCTAAGTTTGAAGACCCCTGAATTATGTGATGAAAAAGGAAAAAGCATGGGGAGGGATGCGCGGGGGGGGGGGAATCCCATTTTTCTTTCCCACTACAGTAATTCTTTAAATTCCATAGTTTTTATATATTAACCAGCTAGGTTAAGTTCAGGAGGGGGAGATGAAATGGCATATGATAAAAGAGAGGCAAGATTTTTAGAAATATAGCACATATATCACAACTTTATACAATACTAAAATGAAAAAAACATTTTTAAAATGCTAGAGAGAATTAAAACAAAAAATTCCAACGCTTGAGAAATCAAGGGAGCAAAAAACTTTGGTCATAATTTCCCAGACGTTAAAAAATAAATCCCAAAAGCGCATGAAACGATCTTTTATTTGGCAAGAGTAATAAAGCTTTTTAATTACAAAACCATTAAAAAATTTGCCCTCATTGCCCATAATGCTTTGCTTCCAGGCCTTCCTCACGCGCGTGCGCCCTCATGGCAGGGCCCTTTTTATGCGCTTGCGCAGGACCATCTCCAGCGCGAAGTTTGTCGCAAGCGCAGAAGGTTCTTCTTGCGTTCCT